GTCAGACAGTGTCTATAGTATCTGGCTACATGTGCATAAAACTCTAGAAGAAGCAAAATGAATCTACAATGCCAAAGTTCAGAAGGGTAAAGAGCAATAGTGGAGGGGGTACAGCTCCAAAGAGACACAAAGGAACATTCTGTAACAGACATATTCTACATGTTGATTATGGTGATGACTATAGAAGTGTATGTGTTTGTCAATCAGTTGGATACTGAAATGGTACATCTTATTGCACATAAAGCATGTCTTAACACAGCTGTTTACAAACATTCTTTGTGCCCTTCTTCAAGTTTACCTAGTCTAGAAAAACTTCCCTGTCAACCTGCCCTGTCTGTATTGTCTCCTCCTCTCCCTCTCCCTGGTGAACTTGTCAAGGAGCCTTCCATCCAGCGTTACTTGTGTTACTCAGCCCTAGGGCCCAAGGACAAGAGGAAAGCTCTGGAGATAAGAGAGAACCCGAAGCGGTGGTGTTTGGAAGAGTGATGTGCACATCCGTAGGAAGCAGGGCACTGCTTCCTCTGACCTCCAGTCTTCCATCTGCAGCCAGGATGCAGTGGGGACCCCAGGGTCCATTCCTTTCATCTGTTATCTTGTTCACTCTGCTTTTCATTTCTCCAGTCTCTATCTTAGGCTCGGACAAACCCTGAATCTGCTCCTCTTTCCTGTATAAAGCCCTCGTCTCTGCATCTGTCTTTAATCTGTCATGTCTGCTTCCTTCCTCTGTAGCCTCTGCTTGGGTTCTCAGTGAGAGCTCCCGTTTCCGCAGAGGCACCTGTGAAAGCAAGCTTCCAAATCTCTTCACACTCCTCACCAACTGAGACAGTCATCCGCTGGATGGGTGGGGAAGGAGAGGAAATGAAAAAGGTGTGTAGGAGGAAAGGTAGGGTTTTTTAAAGCGTTGTTAAGGAGACCCATAGGCGTCAGGCAGACTGGACTCTGCCAGGCAACTTCGGATCACCAGAAGCCATGGCAGAAGACATCTATCTCCTCTACATAGTCCCGGGTACCTGGCTCTGAACCCAGACCCCATGACATGACCTTCTAGCATAGGTAAGGGTGAATAACTGATCATCAGGGCACCCTGAACTAGAGACTCTCCTCAAACACTCTGTGCCTCAGTTTCTTCATCTCTAAAAACATCACTGTTCACAGGGTTGTTGAAAAGACTGATTGATATAGCTGTGTAAAAAGCACCATGTCTAGGCATTTAAGGAACAGACAGGTGTTGTTGCTGCTGTTTTTAATGAGCCTGACTCTATCCAGACCCTGTATTTGGGTGTAGAGACACTTTGATGGAGGAAACAGAAGCAGAGGCAAAGCGTCACCATGCAGCCTGATAGGTGTCCTGCTAGAGAGGGGCGGTAAAAAGCACTGAGAATCCAGGAGAGGCTGCGTATCAGACAGGCTTTTACCCTGGGGCCCTTAGCTTTGGACTGTAATGGGGCCAGAGTAGGAAAGATGAGGAGCAAGTGGAAAAACACAGCCTAGGAACTGGAAGGCACATTGGAGGATGGAGGAATCTTGGTGAGGCTGTGGCTCAAGTTGTATGAAGTGGATTTGTGAGGATGGTGGGCCTGGATGAAGCAGACAAAGCCAGCTTTGATCATTCTTGTGTTCCATTTACTACAAGCCTAGTTTTTGCCAGACAATGTCCTGGTGCCTGCATATCAAGGATGGAAGCTCCCCTTTCTTGGGTAACAGGCTATGTAGGAAAGTAAGTCCTTGGTTGGGGCTGGGAAATAACTTAGTTGGCAGAGTGCTTGGCATGCTGAATCCCTGGGTTTGATCCCCAGCAACCCATAAAACTAAGAATGATAGAACACCCTCTGATGCTAAGACCAGGGAGGTGAAGGCAAGAGGATCAGCAGCTCAAGGTCACCCTTAGCTCAGTGAGTTTCAGGTCAGCCTTTGCTTTAGACCCAGTCTAAATGAAAGGAGAAAAGAAATTCCAGCTTCCTTCCAATCTTGACATCAGTGGTGGCGGAGGGCAACCTCTGCCCCTGCCTTGGAATGGTCTCCTCATTCTCACTCCTTCTCTTCTGTCTGTTGGTTCATTTTGAGCAGTAGTGTGGGCTCTGTGCTGACCACCAGGGGCATGAGAGGACTGAGTCCATCTGGGCTGTTCTCAGGGACCCATTATGGTTTCTGCCTACTACAGGCTAAACGGAATTTGTGATGTATAAGTGGGCATTTTGCTTCTCCTAGACTACCCATCATTATCTTGTTTCCCCAGGCCTTGAGGAAATCAGCCTTACCAAATATGGGATGGGGCAGGAAGAGGATGGTAAGCACCAAGCAAATTTTCTAGGACAGAGGAGAAGCAGAAGCAGCAGCAGCAGCAAGGTTGGCCTGAACTCCCTGCAGAGCAGAAATCCCTAGGTCCCTTGATTATTCCCAGCATGGTGCTAGGCGCAAAGACCCTCCAAAGATAAGATTGTGCCCATGGCTTGTCTTTATATAGCATATCACAGACTTCATTGAAGAAATCAATGAAGGATGGAACCAGAGAGAGAAGAAATAAAGAAGGTAAACACCCAGCAGGAACCTGGGCTTCACTTGGAGGAAGTGGAACTGTCTAGTTTTCTTGGCTCTAAAACCAGCCACAGAGCTGTCTAAAAGGGCATGCTGTTTGGCCTGGAAAGACAGAGAAACGGACCTCAGATTGTGGTCACACTAGCCTTGAATGGTGCCCCCACCTGTAGCAGCCGGGAAATGCATGTGTCCGTGGAGTGGCATAGACGCTTACTCCACAAGTCAGTCTTGTGCTGGTGGAGGTCCGGGTGGGAAATCTGAAGTCACTCATCAGCAGTGACTCATCTGTGGCCTACTCCCAACCTCAGCTAAGTCCTGATGCCACTTTATCAAGGTAGGGCATGAGCTTTAGGGAACCTAAGTTAATGCCTGCCTCATCCCTCTACCCTACCTGTGGTTCTTCACTGGACAAGGGGGTCATACACCAGAGTACTCATAGCCATGAGTACACACATGCAAGATGGCTTCAGAGGACAAGAGGATCAGAGAAAGAGCTATGGAGTTTCAACAAAGGAGGGAAAGACAGTACTCCCACGTGAGGCCTCCAGCTTTCCTGTAGGATGGAGAGGATGCAAGGGGAGTACATAAGCTGGGTTTTGAAGTGTTCTCCAAAAGTGATTTGGAAGCGATGGCAGAGATAGAAATCTGGAACTGTGTGTACTGCCTTTATTCCTTTTCCGGAATGTCGGGCTTCAGTTGAGGGCCTGGGTTGGACTGCTTGATTGCTAACTTGCTCAGACCCTGAGACAGATGAAGACATGCTGTGGAGGCTGTGGCTCTGAGTTCATCTCAGTTGGTGCACCCTGCACTGTGATCCAGACCAAGTCCCTGCTGTCCTCTGGCTGTGTCCTCAGGTGTACACAATGGAGAGCAAGTGACTTTTTAGGACCCCACAACCATGACTCCCATGAATGCCTGATGTCATCCTTCCCGTTGTTTTTGATAAATACCCTTGTCCTGGCCCCAGACCTCCCATGAAGAGGCAGGACACAGCTCTCCCCAAATCCATCCTTTTCCTGGAGTTCAGCCTCTGGCCAGGAAATGGGAAAGCAGGATTTCCTCTGAGGATGCTCTCCCCTGACCCAGACGGCTCCGGTTATGGGAGATGGGGGTGTAGGGGCATCACCCAGGCACCTTTTAGTGGGGCTTTCTTTTACTTGGAAATGTGTGAGATGTGGAGCCAACATGGTGGCCTTCTTTCAGTCAGCACGCCTCCACAACTTCTTTGTTGGGAAAAGTAACTCTTTGTGTGTGTGTGTGTGTGTGTGTGTGTGTGAAGTATATTAAACATTATTTTAAAAATGAGGGAAATCTTTCCTTATCTACACCTGGGGAAACCCTCTAGGATCTTTCAGGGTGAGACTTGACACCACTTGCTCTCATAGAGAAAGCCCTTCCTCCCTCTGGACCTTCTTGGCTCTGCTCATGGATTTTTTTGTTTTGTTTGAGACAGGGTCTAAAAAGTAGCCCTGGTTGTCCCAGAATTTGCTATGTAGACCTGCTGGTCTCAAGCCCAGAGATTTACCTGCCTCTGCCTGCCAGGTGCTGGGATTCAAGGTGTGCACTACCATACCTGGCTCGTGTCTTTTTTTTTTTTTTTTGTACCAACATTTCATGCACAGTATGTCACTTAGGGCTACCCTGTCGTCTACAAAATCAGGGAACTAAAACCTCTAAGTTTCCTACCTAGTTTTGAGTTTGGGGCACAGGAACAAGAACCCAGTGGTTGCTGACTCCCAGTGCAGCCTTTCCTACTGTTGGCTCCCCACCCTAAGTCCCCTCCTCCAAAGCGGTCTGTTCACCTCTCCAATACTTTGTCATGGAGAATGTTTTCCATTCTCTTTCTTATCGATACCAAGAGTCTGGGAAAATGCCACTTTCCCAGAATACTCTGAAAACAGCCTCCCTCTGTTCTCTACCACGCTGACATTTTTCTAGCTTCTACCTGACTGCATCAGCCCCTCATCACTGAGCTCTGACAAGGCATGGTTGCCTTGTTGGTCATTAAGTCCAACATCGTGGGTCAGTACCTAGCAGGATCCACACACCTGTTGAGTTCTGAGGGGGAAAGAGTGCTGGTGTAGAGGAAGGGTAGAGGGGGCAGTTAGTTGCTGGAGGCTGTGGACGGACATGAGGCAGCTGACTTTGGCTCAGTTTTAGTTGGTACATTTTATCTTCTGTAAAGAAGCCTTAAACATGCCTGCTGTACAGGTTTTAGTGAAATACCTGGGGAAACACCTGCCTTTGCCTCCCTGAAATTAAAGGCATGGGCCACCATACCTGGCTTAATATTGTTTTTTCAAAGTGCAATACAAATGGTACCCGCATTCCCTTTTTGGGTGGAACTTGAAGGCTCAATTTAAAAAGAACATTGACAATTCTGCTACTTACTGGAAACTGCAAGTAGAACATAGAGGGAAACCTGATGTCACTTCTGTCTTAATTGTGACTTGAAACTGCAGCAATGAAGGGCGGGAAGAGGGCGCTAACTGCTCCCTGGCTCCACTAACCAGCAATAGTTCTCTATTAGTATTGTCTCAGGAAGCCACAGCTGGGTTAGAAAGACATTCAGAGAACAAAAGTCTTCCTTTAAGAGCCAAACTTTATTACAAGGCAACCTCATCATAACCTCGGCAGAAACCTTCATCTTTTAAGTGAATGAGGATATTTTTCTTTATATTTAGAAATACCAATTTAAAACAACTTGGGGGAAGCAGAAGTAAAGAATTACCGACACACTCAACACATGGATAGCTCTCAGGACATTATTCAGAGAAAGGCAGTAAATTTCAAAAGGTAAAATGCTTTATAAAAAGATATTTTAAAAGTACAGTTTTCTGTAATATTTTTTAAATGATAAAAACATTCTGATGATGGGACTATCAAGGGTAGGGATTGAGGGTTTTGGGTTACTGGAAACCATGGGATATAATTTCATGTGTATACACAAAAAATGCAAATCAATGGTACACCTCATGGACTCAAGTATAAAATTCAGTGCAAGAGACTTGGTGTGAGGTCCTGGGCTCAACCCCCAGCCTGCCTCTTCCCACCAAATAACAACCAAAGGCAATGAAAAGTTCTGTGGTTCACTCAGTATCGAGCCTAATGTCATTTCTCAGTTTTGAAACTTATTATGAGCATGTAAGAAATCTTCTTTGGGAGACACTGGGTACAATGCATACCCGAGCCAGATGCAGAAGGCAGGAGAAATCTGAAGCCAGCCTAGGCTACATACTGAGACCCTGTCTCAAAAAACCCTACAGTTGAGGATGTAGCTCGGAGGTGGGGCTCAGTACAGAGCCCATTAGTACACGGGAGGGCCTGGGGTACAGGGGGTACATTTGAACTTGATTTGCTGCAATACCTGATCTTAGGGTTATTATACTTCTGTTTAGGCTCAGTGACACAGGAGCCCAGACTTCCCACTAAGCAGCCATTTCATAACTGGGTCCTCTAAATGCTACTATAATTAGCAGCTAACAGGATACAGACTCTCACAGTTATTAGAAGCCCCACAGGTCATGGCCAGTGGTGCAAGCCTCTAATCCTACCTAGCACTTGGGAGGCAGAGGCAGGTGGATCTCTAAGTTTGAGGGCAGCCTGGGCTACACAGAGAAACCCTGTCTTGAAAAACAAACAAACAAGCAAAAGAGATCCCAAAGGTCTGGCTTTCTTAAGTGCCGTCAATACACACCTAGTCCTCACATCACAAAGGAGGGGCAGAGCTAAAATAACTTCGGTAACTGTCGGAGACGCTTCACATCTAAGAAGGTGCCCACTGAATTCATGCTATTCAGATGCTTTAAAGTCTCAGGAGGCTGCAAGTTTCCAGGAAACACTACAACGTCACTTTCATTTTCCTTCTCTGGATGTCGAGTAAACTCTGCTTTTCCGGTTCGGAGGCTCACTGCAGGATCCGGTTTAAGATGCCTTAGTGAGAAAGCAGGGTCTTCACTCAGCTGCTCTGTTGCTCTTGGCTGCACAGCCTCATTTGTGATATTTCTCAACACTGGCGTATCTGGGTGCGTGTCCTCAGAGCCACAGTCAGAACACTGAGCTATTCCACAGGCATTCTGAGCAAGTGCTTTCTGATGACCAAATTGTGCAGGTCTGCATGCAGGGTTTCCATCCAACGCATGGTCCATCTCACTATCTGTGTGGCCGGAGGACTCTTCATCCTCACTATTGTCGTTGCTTTCTAAGAGCCCATATCTCTTCATGTATTTTTTGGTTGCAAATGACATGTTGCTTGGTGAAACTAAACTAAGGCCGACCTTGTTTTTGTCTGAATTAAAATGTAGAAGGCCAAAAGATGGGTCACTGTTATTTTGGTTTGATCGCGCGAGAGACAGTTGTGACAGCTGATTTTCATTCAAGTATTTCAGAGCTATAGCATTTGCCTCCATGCTCAAATCCACACCAGTGGGGCTTAAGCCGCTCATGCCAACATTAGCAAATGACATGTAGTTTAATCCAGAGATCACCGCTTCTGGGCTGATGCATGCCAAAACACTGCAAGACACAAAAAATAAGGCAGCTTTTAACCTTATTTTAAGTAGCAAAAGTTTCATTCTGCAAAAGTAACAAAGGTTTCAACTTTAAGCTTACTAGGGCTTTTTTACTGACTACCCAGACTTAGTCCTCATGGGCAGACACGCATTCAGGGTACTCCTAACTGGGAGGTAACCCCTGTTCAGACTGAATGTAGACTACTGGCTGGCCAGTTCAGTGTTTTACACCGACAGCATGCACGGAGGATGACTATCATGAACGCATTACCAAGCCAGGTGTGGTGCTGCAGGCCTGCTATCCCAGACCTCGGGGAGCTGAGGAGGGATAATCAGTTCAAGATCAACTTGGGCTACACAAGAACCTGTCAAAAAGTATAACAAAACAAAGCAAAAACAGAAAGAAAAAAGAGAGTAAGAAAATACACCTTATTACATTATCTAATAGTTACCCACTAATGGGGTATCCATCATGCCTGTAATCAGGAAGAGGCTGAGGCAGGAGAACAATGAACCTGGGCTGCATAATGAGTTGCTCAAATAAACACAGCTGTGCATAGAAAGCATGGGAAACTTGTGAATTCCAAAGGGTATATGTAGTTTTTTTCTCATGCTTTTTTCTTAAGGATTTATTTAAATTTATTTTAAGTTGTAAGAGTGAATGGGACAAGGATAAGGCCGAGCATTCATAACTAATAAGTCTCTGTGCCGTGATTTGGGGGCTGGTTGGTGGCCGAAGAGAAAACCCGCTCATAACCTCTTTTTAACAGGTGTATACATGCTGAGGTCGTCTCTGGTAAAGCGGAATCTAGACAAAGTGTCTGATAGTTGGCTGCACACTGCCAAAGGAACGCCCATGCTTTCTACCAGCAGTGTGTATGGCTGAACGCCGGGAACTGGCACATCTCCACTACCTCCAGGGAGACTTTCAGACCGCCAATAAAACTCATTTCTCTTTTCCGGTATTCTGCTGACAACTTTATCTAGGAAAGATAGCACTAAAAGAATAAATCAATAGAGCAACCATCCTCAAGTGACTTTTCTATGTCACCTCATCCCACTAGAAGACTGGAAAATATAAAGATGATATTTGCATTCCAGTATAGCGGGCTCTCAACAAATGACAAGCCAGCAGACAGAAGGGCACGCACACGCCATCCCGGAGTACGCAAACACGCTGCCATGCATTCATCCTTTAAAACTCAAGTTACCTGGCATGGTCCACTTTCTGGGCATTTTTCTTCACTTTAGTGGGGGAATCAATTTTCACTCCCAGGCTCCTTAGCTGTTTAATAGTTGCACTGAGCACACAGTCTTTGTCTACCAGTCCTGAATTGTGCTTTTTTTTCCTTACATGGTGAGTATTTTGGGTCTTGGTGCATTCATGGTTGACAACTACTGCTTTGGTAGGTAGTTGGTCAATTTCTTGGGAGGTATTATTTAGTAGGTGGTTCACTTTACCCTGTGGGAAAAAAAAAAAAGAATAAAAATTAAAAAATTTAAAAATCACTAACAATCTTAAGGTCTTTTTAAAAATAATTTACTCCTTAATTTATATGTATGTCTGTGTGCGCGTGGGCACCTTCAAAGGTGGACTATCAGTGGGTGTGAGCCTCCTGACCTGCTGCTGGGAACCAACCTCCGGTCCTCTGAGAGAGCAAGCTTTCTCAACTGCCGGGCCCCCTCTAGCCCTCAACCTTAAGATTTTAGGATAATGCCACAAGGAAGGCTAAATATTACCTTGTCAAATTCTATAAAGTGTCTAGTATACTTGCAATTATACAAGTTTCTTTGTCTTTTCTTTCTTCCTTCCTTTTTTTTTTTTGAGACAAAATTTCAAGGCTGACCTTGAGCTGGTAGAGATCTACCCCTCTCTGCCCACGGAGTGCTGGGATTAGAGAAATGAGCCACCGCAGCAGCTGGCCTATTGTTTACTTTTAAATAGGAGCCCATCCTAATGATTTTGTCAGATTTTCAGGAAAGAGGAGATCCACTTAGAAGCCAACCGTGAAGACGGGAGTGAGGGATGAACATGAACCTATATGAAGTTCTTTACTTATTTATTTTGATTTTTTGAGACAACTACATAACTCTGGCTATCCTGGAACTCACTATATCGACCAGGCTAGCCAAAAACTCACAGAGATCCACCGGACTCTTGCCTTCCAAGTGCTGAGATTAAAGGAGTGCACCACCACACTTGGTTTGTATAAAATTCTTAAAGAATGAAATAAAAATTATTATTAACAAATAACAAGTCTAGGAGTTAACCCCTATAATCTCAGTCCTCAGGAGGCTGAGACAGGAGTCACAAGTTCAAGGTCAGCTTGCAGTACATAGTAAACCTGTCCTCTGGCCTCTAACTTTACAATAAAACAAAAAAGCAAAATAAAAAATTACTAATATACTTAAATCACGCATTTGCAAGTTGGCAATATGCTTCTTCGGGTTATAAAACAGACTTTCTTGCTGATTTGCAATCAGGCTCTTTTTCACATTCTATAAAACACCAGTGACTTAAGGTACCCTGAATTCGTGACCTTCGAGCTAGCATACAGCTTGCGCCAGTTTAGGACCCAGCGGGCAAACAACACATACTGTGTGCTGATGACCATGCAGAACTTCACTCATATGTTACCTAATCACCAGCTGCACACAGGGAAACATTCCAAGTCTTCCAGCTGGATGGAAGTGAACCTTCAGAACCCACTTACAGCCGGGTGGTGGCGGTACGCACCTTTAATCCCAGCACTCGGGACGTAGAGACAGGTGAATCTCTGTGAGTTTGAGGCCAGTCTAGTCTACAAAGTGAGTTCCAGGACAGCCAGCTGTTACACACAGAGAAACCCTGTCTCAAAAAACAAAACAAAACAAAACAAAACAAAAAGAAAGAAAGAAAAAAGAAAGAAAAGAAAGAAGAACCCACTCACCTTCTAAGTTAGCTAAAAAGATTTATTCTGTTTTGTTTTACTATACTTCTCAACCCATTATGCTTGTCACTGGTGTCCCTGTTAGAATGTCCCCTCTGCTCTCAAAGGCACAGACTACACTGCTACAATACCTACTTAGCTTAGTCTCCTTTCTTAAACTAAGCTAATTGTTTATTAATTATCTGCTTACCAGAACTGAAATTAGTTAATAGTATCATAAACATTCCACTATTTTCAAATTCCTCACAAACTTAAGTTGCTTGTCTTTTATCCCCTAGTTCCAACTATAGAAGGAATTTAGCAGAATAGTAACACTTATATTTTTTTTTTTGATTTTTAAAATAAATATTTCTTTTTTTCTGGCTAAGTACCTAATGACTACAAAGCTTACAATTAGTTACCAAATTTATGAAAAGCTGAAAAATTACATATTGTTAAATATGTCTAAAGTGATTCTATTTCAAGGTTTCAATCAATTTAAACCTAGGGAAAACTTAACGAGTATTTCCTATATCATACAACCACCTCACAAAAGATCAAATGAGCTACACTTACCAACAAGTCCTGGTAAATTTTCTGGTTATCTGGAAAGTCAGGCTCAACTCTTGGTCCTTCTGGTGATTCAGCGCTGTTACTGGCTCCCTCTGTTGGCTCAGTCTGTAAGCACATGCTCACACTCTCAGCCAGCAAAGCATTTGGGAAGAACACAGGCACATCAGGTTCTTTTCTCTGCTCTGAAGTATTGCTGGAAAGGACATGCAGGGAAGAAAGTAGTAAGACCTGAGCAGCACTTGGTTTGTATATTGAACTTGTTTGTTTGTTCGTTTGTTTGTTTTTTGAGACAGGGTTTCTCTGTGTAACCCTGGCTGTCTTGGAACTTGCACTGTACACCAGGCTGGCCTCAAACTCAGAGATCTGCCTGCCTCTGCCTCCTGAGTGCTGGGATTAAAGGTGTGCACCACCGCTCCTACCACTGTCCAGATGTATATTCAATTCTTAGCAAGGCACATAAACAACGCCTTGACAGGCTGCTCATAAACCAGACCACAGTACTGTTTTATTAAGTTACCTGTTACCAATTTATTATGTTGTCCCAATTCAGATGACTTTCATCTTTCATTGAAGGCCAGAAACAAGGTGATATTGTCTACATTTGATGCAGCAAAACCTTTTAGGATATCTAAACATTATATACATATAATTTGCTCACTTGGAACTTTAAAATAGAATTGATCCTTGCCAACTCAAGGCTCACACGCCACAATTATTAATCACATTATTTAGTTGATAGCATTTCTTCTTTATGCTTTTATTTTTTCAACTTTATTTAGAGCATTTATCACCTTCAAATTAAAAAAAAATAAAATGACTGGAAGAAGTATTATAAGCTCATTTCTTGTTAGCACACTAGCCTGTGGCTCTTTCAGAAAATAGAGAAGCAGCTAGATATGGTGGCACGGGACTGGAATCTTTTAATTATTTATGTGTTTGTATGCCTGTGTGAGTTTATATGCACCACGTACATGCAAGGGTTCAGTGAGGCCAGAGGAGGTAAAGCCCAAGGAACTGGAATTCTAGATATTGTTAGATGTCTGAGCTAGGAAAAGAACCAGGGTCTTTGCAAGTTCAGTTAGTGCTCTTAACGTCTGAGCCACCAAAGAGTCATTTTTACATTATGTGTATATGTGTGTGTTGGTCTGTGCATGTGTATATGGGCACCTGTGGAGATCAGAGCCACCACTGGATCCTCCTGGGGCTGGAGTCACACACCCTTGTGAACTGCCTGACATGGGTGCTGGGAACCCAATTCAGAGCCTCGAGAAAGCAGTAAGAATTCTTAAATTCTCAGCCATCTCTCTAACCCCCATGGGCATAGTCTTGTCCCATAGGAGACAGAAACAAGAGAAACAAGAGTTCCAGGTGGCTAACAACCATCCCAAGATAAAATCAGAGTTGTTTCTGGCAGTGCTTGCCCATTCTCGATCACGTGACCTCACTTAGGTCTTTGTTCTGGACACATCACATGCACTTTGCATTGTGCACACTCATCACACCTCGATACTCCAACAGAAGCTGTTGAAATGCTGTGGCTCAGATCCAAGATTACTGTATGTTATAAACTACGGTGTTTGTATTGTATATACAAGGTTTTGTTCCTATAGAAACATAATGGTTTAAACAAAGACTTTTCTTATTATCCTTCTTCAACGTGTAAGTATTAAATTAGTATATTTTTGGATTGTATTGTGTTGAAAGAGTTGATTTTGAAATGACCCTAAATATATTTGTCATTTTATATTATATATTTATGTGCAGCGGTGTTCTCAGCACTGACCATTAAAAATCAAAACACTCAACTCTTAAACACATTGAAGATATGTTGGGTGTGGTAGTTTATACCTTTAATCCCAGTGGATCTCTGAGCTCAAGGCCAATCTGGTCTATAAATTAAGTTCCAGGATAACCAGGGCTACACAGAGAAACCTGTCTCAAAATAAATAAATAAATTAATTAATTAATTGAAGGTTCTGTCTCCTACAGTATCAACTATTCTGCCAAGATTTAATTCTTTACATAAAACAACCACACCCATCTCATTACTATAATATTTTGTTTCTATATCACTAAATGTTTTGTATACCCTTTTAATATACATATATCCAGAGTCATGCTAAAATTTCTCAGGTGAAAGGGATCATTTGCAGGTTTAAAAAGGCCTTGCTATACATAGTGGGGTGTCTGTGACTGTGAGTTTTCCTCATCTACTCCTGTTCCCCCACACTGTGCCCCAAACATCTGACTGCAACCAATCATACTAAGTAGCTTCTTCACCTAATAACTGAACCCTCTAATGCACCCTTTAAGGTTTGTCTGTCTCTCCAAAAAACACTGCCATCCAGATGGGTGGTGGTGGTGCACACAAGGCCAGCCTGGCCTACAGAGAGTTCCAGGATAGCCAGGGCTACACAGAGGAAACCTATCTTAAAAAAAAAAAAAAACAAAACTAAACAAACACCAAAACCCAAAAACATTGCCATCCAAAAGCCAGCACTCACATCTGCCACAAGTTCAAGGGTGGCCTGGCTTATACTTTTCTTTTTAGGGCCTCCAGGGCCACACTGTTTTTATTCTAAGGAAGAAGCCATGTCTGCTATCGAATTTGTCTTATTCCAGTGTTAGCTAATGGCCATCATGATTAGACACTGTACTAGTAGTCTTGCCCACCAATTGGCCTGAGGGACCCCTAGGAGATTCCTAAAGCACATTTCTAGGTGCCCTGAATGTAGACAGCACCAGGGGGTCAGGGTGAAGAAAATCTGAAGGACAAAGCCTATTCGTGGGCTCAGGTTCTCTGTGTCCTGCAGCGTCCCACTTGCCATGAGGTGAGCAGCTGGGCCCTGCCATGTGTGTCAGAATCACCAAAGGCCCACAATGGAGCCAGCTGCAAGGACTGAAAGCTCTGAAACAGTGAGCCACATCACTTCTCCTTTAACAGTTTCTCGGTATTTACCTTCCACTAAACGCTGGCTGAAGAGCTGCAGACACGGTTCTGACCATTTTATATACATCCTCACTTAATTCTCACAATAACCTCAGAAGCACATGCCTTTACTATTCCCATCTTACAGGTGAGAAACAGTCAACTGGAGACTGTGAAAGCAGTCTATGGCCATATCGCTATGGCTCAAATTGGAAGCTCAAACCAGAGCGTGCTCATAATCAATGGGCTACACCATGTGCTCAAGAATTTAAAAAGATTTAGCTGGGTGTCTAAACTAGTAAATAAAAACAAAAGCTAAAAAAAATGACACGAAAAACTTTAAACCTTAAAAAATGTAAGATGACAACAAAAATGAAACAGATGATTCCAATGTCGGTACTTCCAAAAGCATCCAAAGCATGGCTTCATAAAATTGCTGTAAGTAGATGACGTACACCATACTTTCCATTGGGAAAGAGTGATCAATAACCAATTAAGCTGCACAGCCAACAGACTTATCTTCAGAGACTGCTCCAACACCACAAAGACTGATCTAGCAGACGTTCAAGGGGGCCCAGAGCACAGAGAGTTAAGTGCAACCAATGAATCCTCAGCAGTGAAAGCCACAGCATGAGCCGGCAGTCAGCCAGGGTGCAGAGAACACAAGTCCACTGTGCACGGAGCTGGGAATGATTTCTTTTTAGGACAGGGTCTTTCTATTTAGTTTGTGCTGGCCTATGCTTATGACTGTCTTGCCTCCTATTCTAAGTGCCACCACATCTGGCCTACAGATAGTATTGATTATAAATCAATATATTATATGCTGAAAAAAAGGGGACTAGATATCTACATCTTGTTAGGTGTTACAATCAATAAAGCTGATTAATTGTTCTGAAAAAGCAATTAGCTTCAGGCTATCAATTAAATTAGTTCCTTTTCTGAAGTTAAAAACTATCAAAGGATTGGAGATTTTCAGATTTGAAAACCTTAAATCTAAAAAGTATTCAGTATTAATTACAGAATTAAGTAAAAGAAGGGGCTGGAGAGATAGGTCAGTGGTTAAGAGCACTGGCTGCTCTTCCCTGGAAGACCTGGGTGTGGTTCCCAGCACCCACACGACAGCTCACAATCATCTGTAACTTAAATTCCAGAAGACCTGCTGATAATGCTGATAATGCTCTTGTACACTGTAAAGACTTGTCACTCATACTGGTTTAATAAAACACTGACTGGCCAATAGCAGGCAGGAAGTATAGGCGAGGCAACCAGACTAGGAGAATTCTGGGAAGAGGAAAGGAAGAGAGGTAGTCACTGGCCAGATGCAGAGGAACTGAGAGGAGAATACCTCACAAGAAAAAGTACCAAGCCGTGTAGTTAAACACAGATAAGAATTATTTATGGGTTAAGCCAGGCGTGGTGGCACACACCTTTAATCCCAGCACTCGGGAGGCAGAGGCAGACGGATCTTTGTGAGTTTGAGGCCAGTCTGGTCTACAAGAGCTAGTTCCAGGATAGGCTCCAAAGCTACAGAGAAACCCTGTCTCGAAAAACCAAAAAAGAAAAAAAAATGGGTTTATTTAAGTTGCAAGAGCTAGTTAGTAATAAGCCTGAGTAATAGGGAAACAGTTTATAATTAATATTAGCCTCTGTGTGTTTATTCAGGACTGAACAGCTGTGGGACCAGGAGGGACAGAAATGTCCGGCTACAAGGACTCGATGCCCTCTTCTAACCTCTGCAATCACATGATGCACATACATACATGCAGGTAAAACATTCACTTATAAAAATTAATTAATTAAAAAAGAGAATTAATTCAAGACAGATAATAGGTAAATCACGTTTCGTTCTTTGAGTTTCTAACATTTTTCGAAATAAAATGTATACAGACTTGGGGCTTTTTCTGTCAGAAAACATTTATTTAGAAGCTAACATGAGCTGGACATGGTAGTGTATACCTATAATCCCAGACCTCAGGAGGCTGAGACAGGAAGATCATGAGTTCAAAGCCAACTTGTGCTACATATCAAGTTCTAGGTCAGCTGGACTGACTGACTGAATGAATGGCTAACGTGGGGAGATATTATGGCAAAGACAGAGAAATAAATATGGCCCAGGAATTCAACTTTGCTGGGGAGATGTATGCAAAAGGTTTTTAAATAAACTGCTACTCATATGAACCTTTAATTTAAAACCTTTGATTTAAAACAGTGTTATAAAATAAAAACACATTTCTCTTAGCTTTTTAGAAGTACATATTCATGGATTTAACTATTACATAATCAATAGTTTAGAATACTAATTAGTATCACAAGATTTTTAACCTGAAAAAAAAATCTGCTGCTTGTCCCATACTATTTCAAAGAATACTTGCTATATTTTGCCAAATTTACTGAGTATCTAAATTACTCTAATTTAGTAGAAAATTTCATAATGGAAAAACTTCAAATATAAGTGAAAACTGTTTAACAAAACACTATATACGTTGTTTTGAAATTTACCATTTTAGCCCTTGGTGTTGGTGCATGCCTTTAATTCCAGCACTTAGGTGGCAGAGGCAGGTGAATCTCAATGAGTTCAAGGCCAGCCTGGTCTACAAAGTGAGTTCCAGGACAGCCAGGACTGTTACACAGAGAAATCCTGTTTTGAAAAATAAAACTAAACAACAACAACAACAACAAAAATTACCATCTTGTCAATTCTGTCTTGTTTCTGTATTTAGTCAGTTCATCTATTATTTTGAAGCAAACATATAAAATGATATATGTAAGTATTTAGTTGTTGCTTTCAAATGTAATTGCACTGCCACTTGGAATCCTGTATTAGAATCTCTGACGTAAAGTCTGAGTACAGAGAATGATGAAGCTTTCTTTGGATGTTGTTGATTCATTCAGATTAATATATGGGTATAGTTGAAGAAAGTTGAAAATTCTCCATTATACTGACACTTATTACATAGACATTAATGAAAATATAGTAAATATATCAATCTCTCAAAGAGGAAGAAAATGTACATATTGCTGACTAAAATAAATAATAGTGATTTCTGTATTTCAGAATTACAGAGCACATTTTAAACGTTTTCACCACAAAAAGTTTATGAGGTCATAATTTTGATTGCCAGATTTATTTATTCTATACTATGTATATAAGTGTAAAAATCACATTCTAAGGTAGGCAAAGGGTTATGGACCTTTAATTCCAGCACTCAGGAGGCAGATGTAGGCAGATCTCTGTGAGTTCTAAGCCAGTCTATACACAGTGAGGTCCAGAACAGCCAGGGTTACATAGGGACCCAGTCTCAAACAAAAAACAACCAACTCCCCCCCCCAAAAAAAAACATACACACAACCCCCAAATATAAAATATATTCAATCCTTAGCACTGCAAAAAAGAAATGTGTGTAGTGTATGAGTGTGTGTGTGTGTGTGTGTGTGTGTGTGTGTATGTGTGTATGTAGGGTGAAACAGTTAATGAAAGGCTCTTACTTAGACTCAGGAAGCAGATGATTAAACTCTTCCACAGCTACGGTGCTTTCTTCAAAACTGGGAATGTCAACTGCTTTTAATGAAGACGCGCTGCCAGGAGGACTTGCCGCTTCATTATTAATATCAACAGAAAAGTTCATGTCCTCACTAGAAATCTTGGTGTCATCTTGCTTTAGCTGTGAGTCAGGCTCCTGATCACCACCGTCTGCATTCCAAAACAAGCTAGCACCTGGAGGTTAAATGAGTTCAGATACTAGAACAAAGATTCAACTAGAAAAAAGAATAAATGTAAAAGCTTGTAAAGACTATCTACGTTACATTAACAAAATTACACTGTTTCAAATTACCTTAAAAAGTAATGCCACAAAGAGAAAGAGGCAAAGGGGCAAGAAGAGAGAAAACCAGTGGCAAAGGGAAAGGGAATATGCTGCGTCCTGCTTGCTCGAGAGCAGTCTCTGCTTCTCAAATTAAGGTACAGTGGCACGCCATAATTCAGCACTCAAGAAACTGAGGCAGGAGGATCTTGGATGGAGGACCGCCTGGGCTATGTAGCAAGTTCAAGACCAATGTGGGTTACATTAGTGGTAGTCTGTCTCAAAGTAAAATGGAAATACCTCAGGAGAAAACAGTACATATGCAAAAGAAAAGAGCTGTAAATTCATAGGTTTTCTGGGTTTGATCCTTAAGTAGAGTGTCCTAAGAAACTGTGTTAGAGGTGTACAAGGTACACACACTGGCAGGCAGGTATTTAAAGATCAAGTGCTTTTGGGATAAGGAGACAGATCAGTGTGTGAACTGCTTGCATGAGGACCTGAATTTGGATCCCGAGTACCCATGTAAATGCCACCTGTTGGCCATCAGCCTTACCTGAAACGGCAAGTTTCAGGTCTAAGAAAGACTTTGTCTCAAAAAATAAAGCAGAGAAGCAAATGAGAAGACAGACCGATGTCAACTTCTGGCATCTGTTCATGCCTACTACCTGTACACATGTGCACACATGCATATAAAACACATACATGCTTAGACAAAAACAAACACCAGTGCTTCTCTAACGCAAGGAGCCATTTGTGCATGCTTTCCGAGCCAGCCTACATACTATTCATTTATACTTTGTTACATAAACTCACTTTATTTTTGCCTGGCTTCACCTTTTCTGTGAAGTCACGGGTTTGATCTGCTAGTCATTCCTTTTCTATTACACATAAGAAAAATTAATTAGGGCTGGAAAACAGGCTCACTGGTTAAGGGCACTTGTTCTTACAGAAGACATGGGATTGGTTCCCAGCACTCATATGGTGATTCACAACCATCCTTAACTCCAGTTCCACAGGATCTAACAACCTCTCCTGGTCCCTGCCAGCATCAGACATATAGCTGATGAACATACACACATATATGCAGGTAAAAAAGTCATACACATAAGTCTAAAAAAATAGATTTAAAAAATAAGATGCTCATCTGTATACTACCTCAAATAATCTTTTGTACCATGATACATGTAACTTTTAATGCAATGGTTTCAAGAAATAAAAAAATGTAAGTTGATATGGTTTCTTTCTTCCTTTCCTTTCCTTTTATTTTTGATATAAAGTATAGAGTCCAACCTGGCCACAAACTCAAGACTCTCCAGAGCACTAGGACTATAGGCATGCACCACCACGAAAACATTTTCTACTTTGAGTGACTTTATGAGATAAATCATTAAGATCAAGGTTTAACTTTGTATTCGCATTTTTTTTTGAAAAAAAGCTGTACTAGGTCCTGCCTATTCTATACCTTTAGAGAAAGTTAAGTATACAGAAAATAAATATGCTTCTAAAGTCTCTTAGTTCAAATGACTATTAATTTGTTTTGGAACTGGGCAGTGGTTGTGCATGCCTTTAATCCCAGCACTTGGGAGGTAGAGGCAGGTGAATATCTGTGAGTTTGAGGCCAGCCTGGTATACAGAATGTTTCAAGACAGCCAGGGATACACAAAGAAATCCTGTTTTGAAAAAACCAAAACCAAACCAAACCAAAAAAACTGCAATACAGTAAATATAGAAGTTTATAAGACAGAAAACACTACACTTTCTCCCCTTTGGTATATGTGAGTGTGTACATGTGTGTATGCAGGTGTGAACACATATGTACAAATACATATGGATAGCAGAGGTCCCTGTCAGGTTCCTTCTCCACTACTCTTCACCCTGTATTTTGAGAACTGAACCTACAGTTCACAGGCTGGGCAAGATTCGCCAGCCAGAGAGCCCCAGGGGTCCTCCTGTCTCAGTCTTACCAGAACTAGGATTACAGATGTAATTACTGCATCTGGCTTTTTACATGGGGGCTGAACTCAGATCCTTATGTTGTACGGCAGGCAAGGTACTAAGCATCTCCTCATCCTCTCCTCCATGCCTTTCCAGGCACTTGTGAGAAGCATTAAAAACTAAAGTTACCTGTGCTCACAGCGATGCTTACACTTTTTCTCATGTGCAAGCCAGGCGAAGACTGTGCCTCCATGGAAACCAGCTCCACTTGTCTTGCCGCTTTCACAGTGTCTTCCATAGTGGTGGTCTTAGGGGAGCCAGAATTTAGAGACTGGGCTTCTAATAAGCGCTGAATCTGTATCAATTAAAAACACGCATTAAACAAACAACGAAGCAATCAACAAAGCTGGTGGAAGAGTTTAGTAACAAATTTCAAATACTCTAGTTATTAGAGATGATTTTTAACTTACATTTTCTTTTTTTTTCTTTTTTTTTATTTATTTACTTAACTTTATTATGTTTGTTGGTGTGAAGGTGTCAGATCTCATGGAACTGCATTTTCAGACAGTTGTGAGCTGCCATGTGGGTGCTGGGAATCGAACCCGGGTCCTCTGGAAGAGCAGTCAGTGCTCTTAACCGCTGAGCCATCTCTCCAGCCCCTTAACTTACATTTTCTAACAATACAATTAAATCATACCACAAGACTTACTCAGTGCAGAAAGCCATTATCCTTAGTTACTAAGACCCACTTTCATTAATATAAACTTAAAAGTGAAACATACAGGTGGTTAGATTAGTATTCATAAATTGACACATACAGAAAAGTCTGAATGGCTTCAAATCATACTTTTTATTCAAACACTTCAAATCAGTGTACTTTATTCCTACTTCACTATACATCAAATAAGAATGGAGATGGAGGCACACCCTGAGCTTCATGCACCAAATACTGAGCATATTTCACAAGATGCTTTCTATGAAGTTTAGTCAAAAGTTCTCATGCTTGGCCACATTGAAACAAAATAGCAACCAACAAGAGCTAACGCTGACTGGTTCTTTCTTGTCTGCAAGACACTTGCACCACAAGTTATTTTAGCTGTGTACATGTTTTGTCTCCACCACCTACATGCCTGGTGTCCATGGAGACCAGAAGAGAGCATTGGATTTCCTGAGGCTTCAGTTACAAGCAGTTAACATGGTTGTGAGCCATCCTCTGGCTACTAGGAATTGAACGTGGGTCCTTTAGAAGAGCAGCAAGGGCTCTTAACCACAGAGTCATCTCTCTAGCCCTATGCCACAGAATTTATGTGAATTTTACCATTCCATGAAGTGTATACGGCTGTGGAACAATGGTTTTACCCTGTAAGGATTTGTTTCGTGTACTTGTTTAATAAAATGCTGATTGGCCAGTAGCCAGGCAGGAAGTAGAGGCAGGCGACCAAGCAGGAAGTAGAGGCGGGGTAATGAGAACAGGAGAATTCTGGGAAGAGGAAAGAGTCAGTCCACAGTCATCACAGAGTAAGCAAGATGAGAATGCCTCACTGATGAAAAAGGTACCAAGCCACGTGGCTAACACAGACAAGAATTTTGGACTAAGATAAGTTACTAGAGTTAAGAATACTGAGCTAATAGGCCAATCAGTTTATATTTAGTATAGGCCTCTGTGTGTTTATTTGGGACTAAACAGATGTGGGACCTGGTGGGACAGAAAGCTCGGTCAGCAGTATACTATTAAAATTCATTTTACAGGTGAAAAACTTGAAACATTACAGTTACCTGTTGAGATTGTATGACAAGGGGCTGGAGAGATAGCTCAGTAGTTAAGAATACTGTCTGCTTTTCCAGAGACCCAGGTTCAATCCCCAGCACTCACATGGCAGCTCATAACTGTCTGTAACTCCAGCTCTAGGGGATTTGACACCCTCACACAGACTTTGGTATAATACCAATGAACATAAAATAAAAAGATTTTTGACAAGTAGCAAAACTGAACTCCAAACACCAAAAGTCTTCCCTTCTCCTTTTCAAACAGAGAGGTTATTTATGAACTTTAGAAATTATCAATTCTGAAGTTTATAGTATAGTCACAAAATATGAAACAATAATTGCTATTAATTCAGAACATTTTCAAACCCTAAAAGTCTCTGTGTCATTCACGGTCATTCCTTACCACCCCTTTCTCCTGCCCTTGGCACACACTAACACATCTAGCTCTCTGCCTTTGCTGATTCTGGCCATTTCATACAGACAGAACTAAGACTCGAGTCTGGCTTCTTTCTCTTTACACAAAGCTTTTATGCTTCTGAGTGCTGAATATTCCACTGTATGGATATGACCACTGAGTTTATCCATCTATCAAGCTGATGGAGAACCAGGCTGTTTATAATTTGGCCTCTTGTGAACTATATTACTATGGACATTTATTTATCTTTTTTTTTTTTTTCGAGACAGGGTTTCTCTGTGGCTTTGGAGCCTGTCCTGGAACTAGCTCTGTAGACCAGGCTGGTCTCGAACTCACAGAGATCCGCCTGCCTCTGCCTCCCGAGTGCTGGGATTCAAAGCATGCACTACCACTGCCCGGCTTACTATGGACATTTATGCACGGAGTTTTTTTGTTTTATTTTGATTTTGTCTTCTTGTTTTAAGATAGTGTCTTGCTAAGTAGTCCCAGCTGACCTAAGCCTCACTCTACCGCCAGGCTGGCTGCCAGCTTGATCCCCCTCTCCCTGCATCTCCTGGCTGTGCCGCCACAGCAGCGTGTGTACAGGGCTTTTCACTTTTCTTGAATATGTACTGGAGTGAGGAACATTTCCTTTATTTGTTTTGTTGTTGATTCTCTTTGTTTTTTCCCTAAATATTTTGATTTTTTTATTTTCCTATAATTGGTACTATTATGGTTAACTAATTAGTTAGTTTTAGTCAACTAATATAATTATCAATAAGGTTGCTTTTCCATGGCTACACAACTTATATTGGATGGAAACTGAATTGTAATCTAAGGAATCTGCCCATCCAATTCATTTGCTCACTCCATTAAGTATAATACCAAAACTACTGTGAATGCCAGAGGAGGAGCAAGTTTAGGTATCTTTTTGTAGACTGGGCAAGGGCCCCACCTCTGAGCTACAGTTCTAGCTCAAGGCTGGGTATCCCTGAACTTTTTAGATAAACATTTCTTTTGACTTCACAATTTACTTCTGGAGAGCCAGTGAGACGGCACCAAGGGTGAAGGTGCTTGCCATCAAGCTTCATGACCTTCTCCAGGCCCCACATGGTGAAAGGAGAGAACTGACTCCTGTAAACTCTTGACTTTCACATGCAAACTGTGGTCAACAGGAACACACACACAAGCACACATGCACACACAAGCGCCCGCGCACACACACATAATAAAAAAATTTTAAGTTTACTTCTAGGGATCTACGGCACATTGCTATTAGCATATACTCAGCTAAAAATATGAATAAAAGATGCAAGTAAGTGGGCTGGAAAGATGGCTCAGCTGATAAAGTATATAAGTGAAAGAAGCAAAAAAAAGTAAAAAAATACATAAAATTAAATACAGTGAAGAAAAAACAACCTACAAGTATCGGGATACCCACTGGTGCATTGACTGCAACAGAACAAAGTTTGAAGTGTTGTCAGAACAGAACAAAACAATTAGAAAGCCCACGTGTACTCTGAGAAAATGACCCAATACAATAAAGTTCTCCATGGACTCACAATGGAAGCAGCTTAGCTGGTAAAGTGCTTGCTCAACAAACATGAGGACCTGAGCTTGATCCCGAGCACCCAAGTAAGAGTCACGTGTCATGTGCACCTGTGATAGGAACACTGGGAAGGCGGAGACAGGCAGATCCCTCAGGCTCACTCACAGCCTAAGCCCTAGGTCCCACTGAGTGACTGTCTCAAAAACATTTTAAACACACAAAGAACCACTGGGTTGTATACTTTAAACAGCTAAATTGTGTTATATGCATCAATAACATCAAAACACATTTACTCGTCACCTGATTATCCTCCTGAGATATTTCAAATCCTTTCTAGAGGAAGCTACTATCCATAGTTCCATGTTTCTTCTGTGTGTTTCCTGTTCCTTCAATGAATATTTAGACACTTACATAAGGCTTTAATCCACTCATATATGTATTAATCTGAAATTCCTATCATCGACAAAATATTTCTTGTTCTTCTTGGTCAATAAGAACAATACTACTAATTAATAATAATGGTAAACACAGGTGTGCAGCTCCTGAGGGAAAACATGAAAGGCTGACCCTAGGCCCCCATATGCATGCACACACATGTGCACCTATACCTAGATTCCTTAAAAAAGGAAAAAGAGGGGCTGGAGAGATGGCTCAGAGGTTAAGAGCATTGCCTGCTCTTCCAAAGGTCCTGAGTTCAATTCCCAGCAACCACATCACAACCATCTATAACTGGGTCTGGTGCCCTCTTCTGGCCTGCAGGTATACACACAGACAGAATATTGTGTACATAATAAATAAATAAATATTAAAAAAAAGGAAAAAGAAATTATGAGGAAAATAATGTGTATTTATAGAAAAAAATTTCTATTTTGTGTAATGATAATCTAGATGAGAGCTCACAGTCTATAAGTATACATTATAAGTAGCTAATGTTTTTAAATAGCTTAATGAATCTCTTTAGGTTGATTAACCTTTTTTAAAACAAGACAAAATAAATGATAATTATTTTCAATGTAAAAATATTAGCTATTTAACTATATTAACATTTTTGGTTTAGTATTTAATGATTTATTAAAATAAAAACTTATGCAAATCTCAAAGAATTTACCTCTATTTAAAAAACAGGTGGTGGTAGTGGCGCACACCTTTAATTCCAGCACTTGGGAGGCAGAGGCAGGCAGATCTCTGAGTTCGAGGACAGCCTGGTCTGCAAGAGCTAGTTCCAGGACAGGTTTCAAAGTTATAGAGAAAACCTGTCTCAAAAACGAAACAAATAAAACAAAACAACAACAACAACAAAAACCTGAAAAGTTGGGGCTGGAGAGATGGCTCCCAGCACCTGTATCAGATGGCACACAACCACCTATAATTCTAGTTCCAGGGGATACAATGCCCTCTGCCTCCTCTGGCACACATAAACTCATGCAGGTATATGCACACATACACTTAAAAAGTCATTTAAGGGGCTGAAGAGATGGCTCAGCAGTTAAGAGCACTGACTCACGACCATCTGTAATGAGATCTGGTGCCCTCTTCTGGTCTGTAGGCAAACATGCAGGCAGAACATTGTATATGTGAAAAATAAATAAATCTTGCCAGGCGGTGGTGGCTCAGGCCTTTAATCCCAGCACTCGGAGGCAGAGGCAGGCGGATCTCTGTGAGTTTGAGGCCAGCCTGGTCTAGAAGAGCTAGTTCCAGGACAGGAACCAAAAGCTACAGAGAAACCCTGTCTTGAAAATCCAAAATAAATAAATAAATAAATAAATAAAATAAATCTTTAAAAAAAAAGTCATTTAAGCTGGGCGGTGGTGGTGCATTCCTTTAGTCCCAGTACTCGGGAGGCAGAGGCAGGTAGATCTCTGTGAGTTCGAGGCCAGCTTGGTCTATAAGAGCTAGTTCCAGGACAGGCTCCAAAGCTAACCCTGTCTTGAATAATAATAATAATAATAATAATAACAACAATGTCATTTAAAAATAAAATAAAGTAGAAGTTTCTCAGGGGGTCCTGAGTAGAATTTGAAAATCTTTGTTTTTTTTAAAAATGCAATTTTATTAAAAATTTTAAAATGTTATTTATTTTTATTTTAACCACTGAGCCATCTCTCCACCCACCTTTCTTTTTTTTTGTATGCGCCTGTATGCTTGTCTATTTGTAGTTTATTTTTCATATAAAAAGACTATAGCCCATCTATAGTGAGTCACATGTATAACAAGACATTTAAAAAAATCAAGTCAAAGACATATTGTAGAACAAGAGCTGCCAACTGGTGCAGTAAAATTTTGAGTACTTATTGATATCTCCAAGTCTGCTTATTTGTTTTTCAAATGGAAAGACAAGTTGAATATCCTTAACCCAAAATCTAAACATTTCAGATCCAAAAGTTGAGCACTAAAAGGATGCACAGAAATCTGCATGCTATGAAACTTCATCTCCAAGCATGAAATTATACAAAATATTGTATATCATAAAATATTGTATAAAATTGTATGTGTGCATAACCTAAATAAATTTTGTAATTAGACTTGGCATCCATACCCAAGTTATCTCATTATGTATATGAAAATATCCCCCACCCTCCAAATCCTAAATCCAAAGCATTTTCGAACCAAAATGTTTCAGACAAGGGATACTCAACCTCAGCGAGTCCTTCAAATTCACGAAGGGCTGTGAGGACCACATGGCACAAGGCTAAAAGACAGTATTTAGCCTGGGATGGCCTCAAAAGACTTTAAAACAAAGATTTCCCGAGATCACACATTATGCGGAGCACTCACATGTTTGTATAGTTACAGGGCCAAGAAAAAACATCAAGTTATTTTCACTAGCACTGGCTGCAAAGAGAACAACTGGTTTGGAAGATGTATGTAGAAGAGGGATGTTGATGAGAAATGAGGGGGAAAGGCAAACCCAGACTAACCTTTGAATAAAGCTATATTAAAATATTAAGAACCCTGCAATAAAAGTCGTGAAGAAAGGAAATATTGCCAACAAAATGAGTGGAGCACAGAGAGGGCTAGATGTGGTGGTGCACATCTGTAACTCCAGTACCTGCAGGTGTGTGCAGAAGGGTTACATGTTCAAGACCAGTCTAGGCCCCATGAGACTGTGTGTCAAAAACCAACACAAATAAAAACCAGCAGACACACAGAGTTGTTAACTGGTCTCAATACAGTAAGTAGCAAGCAAGGTCCTAAAGACACACTGGCTAAGGAGAGTACACATACAGGCTGGCAAACTAGAGACATGCCAGCCTTTGTATTCAGCTGTACATAAAGCTTTAGAGGAAACGGAAAGAAAATGCAATTAAGTTATAGGTTAAGATCTACAAACAGAAGGCTTGTTCTCAGGTCCCACCCTACTAACCAGCAAATCAGAGCAGAGTTAAATTATTCTCTCTAATCCTCATTTTATCTGTAAAACAAGAGGGACTAGAATTTAGCTTCTAAGGCCTTTGTGGTCCTAGTATTCTACACTGCTATAAAGTATATCTCACTGTAGAGTTGCCAGACATTAAGGAATTAAATTAATAATTTAAGAGCACATGGGGGCTGGAGGGATGGCTCAGCGGTTAAGAGCACTGGCTGCTCATTCAGAGGTCCTGAGTTCAATTTCCAGCAACCATATGGTAGCTCATAACTATCTATCATGAGACCTGGTGCTCTCTTCTGGCCTGCAAGCATACATGCAGGCAGAATAATAAATCTTTAAAAAAAAATTTAAGAGTATCAAGAAAGCTTCACAAACCTGTGCCTGAAGTAGTCTCAGCTGCCTGTCTTGCTCCGTGACAAAGCGATATGCATCAGGAGATAGTCCCATCATGCCATTGTCTGGCACCGTGCTGGGTGTGTGCATGCACATGGCACAAGTCTGTGGCACACATGAGTCCACATGTGAAGGTCCTGCCACAGGGGATGACTCTCCATTGTTGTGGGGAGAATAACCACCCATGCCTCCCTGAGGTTTCATGGCCACAGGGCTGCTGGAAGAGTAGACGGCATTATGACACAGAGATGGACATCCACTTGAAGGAAATATAGCATGTTTTGGAAGGGCTTCATTTCGGAGGTCTTGAACTACTGTATTTCCCTGCCAAGAATTTATTGTACTATACTGAATATGGCCGTGACGTTGACAACAGTTGCAGATGTTTGTGGAATAGTAAGATGGCAGTGAAGGCATAGGTACTTCAAGTTCCATTGGTCTTGCTGAATTATGGGGTGAAAAAACAAAATTGTGTGGGTGGGCTTGTGAAGCAAGTGAGGGCTGCCTAGAATTCACTGTGGCAGGTCTCACAGGATAGTCTTCCTTTTGCATGCTTCCAGCAGGAACTGCTGGAAGTTTCTCAGATACCTCAGGAGATGGTGCATTAAGAAACGGTTTAACATTGGTGTTCCTGGGATGGAGCCTTTCTTTCTTGCAGGTAGGTGATTGCTTCCCTCTGGACTGTCTCAGAGCAGCATCTTGGCTTAGCTGATTTGGTTGTCCCTTCAGGGAAGGCTCCCCAGCGTCAGCCTCTGAGCTGTGCTTGTCATTACAAAGCTCAGGCTGCAATGGCCTCATCAACAAAGGATTCTCCACAGTCATCGTTTCCAGCGGGTTAGACTGGGTACTCGAGCCTGTGAAGCTGCTGTCTAACACAAGCGAGAGTTCAGGGACAGATGGCTGGATCTTAGAAATCTGGAAATAGACACAAAGAGGAAATTCTTAGGACACTTAATTGCTCTATTTCCTTTACACACACATTTCCCAAGTGATATCCAATTACACATTAAGATTTATTCATTATTTAGACCAACAACAAATATTTTCTGGGTAGCAGAGATACAACTGTGAGAATAAACAAGGCTGTTGCCCTCGAACACAGGAGAATATTCCCCCGACTTATTGAGGTTTTTTGAGACTAGGGGTGGTAGTTTGAATGTATTTGAACCCCATAAATCTCACAAGGAGTGGCACTATTAGGAGGTGTGGCCTTGTTGAAGTAGGAATGGCCTTGCTAGAAGTTTGTCACTGTGAACTGGCTTTGAGGTTTCCTATGACCAGGATACTTGCCCAGTGACACAGTCAAATTCCTCTTCCCTGCAAGTCAGGATGGAGCCAGCAAAATTAGCCTGCATACCACCATGCTCCCTGCCATGACGAGAAGGAACTGAACCTCTGAAACTGCAAGCAAGTCACCTTAGTTAAATGTTTTCCTTTTAAGGTTCCATGGTGATGGTGTCTCTTCACAGCAATAAAAACCCTAACTAAAACATTAGATCTCTCTACATAGCCTTGCCTGTCCTGGAACTCACTCTGTAGACCAGGCTGGCTAACTCAAGAGACCCACCTGCCTTTGCCTCCCGCTAGAATTAAAGGCATGTGCCACCTCCCCAACTCCCCTACTCCACCCCAGGCTCCTAAACTTATTTAAAATGGAATTCCTTTATTATAACACTGATTGACATTGTCTAGATTACAGAACAAAAACATGAAAAAAGTGTATTATACTACAGTTTCTTACCCTCACTCTGCCAAAAAAGTTACCAGGCAGAATGCTTCAACAAATACAGCAGCCCACGTAATGTTTCTTAAAAAAATAACACTCTGGGGCTGGAGAGATGGCTCAGTGGTTAAGAGCATTTCCTGCTCTTCCAAAGGTCCTGAGTTCAATTCCCAGCAACCACATGGTGGCTCACAACCATCTGTAATGAGGTCTGGTGCTCTCTTCTGGCCTTCTGCATACACACAGATAGACTATTGTATACATAATAAATAATAAATTTAAAAAAAAAAAAAACACTCTGCCAGGCAGTGGATCTCTGAGTCTGAGGCCAGCCTGGTGTACAAAGAGAGTTCCAGAACAGCCAGGACTACAAGAGAAACCAAAAGAAGAAACAAACAAACAAACCAAAAACAAAAAAAGCCAAACAGACAATCAAAAAAGAAGAACAAACCAAAACCCTACTGCAATAAATACTTCAGGACACTCTCCGCTGACCAGTGCCGCTCGACTAGTTCTTTTACTTCTATTAAATAAAAGAGATGGGAGCCAACATAAAATGTGTTACAATTTTTTTTGAAGCAGTGTTGGAAATTGCAATACAAATTTTAAGCTTGAGGGTTAAGAGAAAGAAATAAAGGGCTGGAGAGATGGCTCAATAGTTAAGAACACTGGCTGCTCTTCCAGAGGACCAGGTTCAATTCCCAGTACCAACATGGCAGCTAACAACTGTCTATAATCCAGTTGTAGAGGATCTGATACCCTCACACACACACAAAATATATATATATATATATATATATATATATATATATATATCAATGTACATTAAAAAAATTAACAAATAAACCTTTAAAAAGAGAGAGAGGGAAAAAGTGATGCTTGGGAAGAAATTTAAAACACCAACAGTGTGGGTGTGGACTTCTCAAGGGAAAGTCACCAACCATACTAATTTTTTAAAATCTTTTCCATTTCTTTTCCTTTCAGTTAAATCCAATTAAGGTAAATATATATAAAAAAGCTCACTAGTATGACAAGCAAGAGTTATTGGCACCTCTAAATGCAAGCAGGATGTTTTCTCTGAGTACAATAACAAGGCTAACGCCAGGAGCGGTGAGAGAAAGCAGAGTCCATTTGTGTGCTGGAAGCACCAATGCCGAAGCCAAAGCCCCAGAATGGCAATGCCAGTTGTCTGTTTACTAGTGTGCGAATCATGAACAGCTAACCAGCTGAAACCTCCGTTTCCTTACACTTACGTACACATTCTTATGTGAGTATATGTATATACCATTACTTAATTATATGTACCTGTGAGATATATACATACCTTCCTATATAGAGATATAATCATATAATAGCTAGGACGATCCATATATAAGAATGAGGTGGTATTTAAGTGTTTTACTATATAAGGTTTCTAGCTGAAGGTGAGTTCATTTTGAGAGCACTACCTTCTCACTCACTGGGTGAGGACTGGGAATCGGTCTTGGAGAAAAGTCATCTTCAAAGTCAGCATCATGTTTATTTCTGGATATTTTCCCAGGAGATATTTTTTGAGGAGATCTAAAGAGTAGAAGAGGAGACAAAAACCCTTCAGTCAGCCAGGGTTGTTTGAAATGTGACAATGTCATTTAGTAAATACTAATACATACAATTTAGTACCTGACAGCTGCAGATGACTTTCTTGGATCAGTGTTAGTTTACCAGGAAAGCTGGTCTACCCAGGGTTAGTTATCAACTGTCCCATTTACCCAATCACTTGAAGTAGCCCTACTTTTTGAAATGCTACAGAACATCAGTGGTCACTGAACACCTTCTGGTTGACCACACTCAACAACATAGAAAGAACGTGCATTATAGTGTGAAATGGACTCCATAGTACTTTTGTAGTATTTTGAAGACCACAGAACCTTCAGGAGGTAGTGGCTGTTGGAAGTAGGTCAGTTAGGGTGGACCTTTTTTTTTTTTTTGGTTTTTCGAGACAGGGTTTCTCTGTGGCTTTGGAGCCTGTCCTGGAACTAGCTCTGTAGACCAGGCTGGTCTCGAACTCACAGAGATCCGCCTGCCTCTGCCTCCCGAGTGCTGGGATTAAAGGAGTGCGCCACCATCGCCCGGCTAGGGTGGACCTTTGAATGCCACCTTTGCTTTTGATTATGTCCTGCCTCACGTCTCCTGGCCCCCCATGCGAAGTCCCATCGCTGTTGGGTGGAGACACTCCTGTCACCAAGCCTCCCCAGTAAGAACTGAAATCACTCTGAAACAATGAGTCAAAATAACCTTTATCTAATAGCTGTTCTATCAGCTATTTTATTTGTTACAGCAAAAGCAGAAGCAACTAAGACACACTCCAACAATATTCAACACACTGTATTAAACATCCACTGTGATAACAAGGAAAACCACCAAATTATGTTTTTCTGTGTACTTCTAAAAAACATGGGTGGGTGGGGTGGTGCATGACTTTAATACCAGCACAGCAGGCAGATCTCTATGCTCTACATAGTGACTTCCAGGCTAGGCAAGGTAAGAACTTGTCTCAGAAAAAAAAAAAAGCATTATTACGTTTAAAAAACCTATTTTGTGTATCATGTGTATGTATGTGTAACACACAGAAGTCACAGAGCAACTTTTCAGAATTTGGTTCTTGCTCTCTCTCTCTCTTTTTGTTTGTTTGTTTTTTTGAGAGAGGGTTTCTCTATGTAGCTTTGAAGCCTGCCCTGGCATTCAATCTGTGGACCAGGCTGGCCTCGAACTCATAGAGATCCTCCTGCCTCTGCCTCCCAAGGGCTGGGATTTAAAGGTGTGAGGCATATCAAGTTCTCTCATATCAAGTAAAACCTAGAGATCAAAAGTCACGTTATTCGAGTTGAAAACAATTTGTTTCACCCACTGAGCCATCTTGCTGGCTCCTAAGTTCTTTTTAAAATTAATTTTTAAGTTATTATACAAAGTTATAGTTTATTTATTTTTATAGCATTTTCATATAGATGTCATTATACCAGCTCTTATTCATCCCCTTTTCCTGTGTGCTAATATATACAGTGGGAACATACTTAAAATGGAGTACACCTCCTATTTAGTCAGCTGTAGTCACTGTATCCCAGAGAGCATGCTCCACCCAAAGAAAGGAACTCTGATAAGGCTGGGGATATAGTTCAGTGGTAAAGTGGTTGACTAGTACGTGCAAACCCTGGGCTCAATCCCAGCACTAATGAGAAGGAAGGAGGGAAGAAAAAATTTTAATGTTGGTACCAAGTTTCAAAAGTTAAATTAAGGTTTAAAATCAAAGATTTTGTGTTGGGGGGGGGGGGGGAAGATTTAGAATGTATGTGCATAAGGGTGTTATTGTTGCTTGTTTCATCTTAATAAACAGACAAAGTCTCATTAGGATGCTTTAGGAAAAAGTGAGCAATAATAAAGTAAGAGAGCTTAGAATTAGTGAGGTTCCTAAAAAGTATCCTGTTCTACATAAGTTGAATTCGTCCTCAAAATGAAAAAGAGGGGGGCTGGAGAGATGGCTCAGAGGTTAAGAGCACTGCCTGCTCTTCCAAAGGACCTGAGTTCAATTCCCAGCAACCACATGGTGGCTCACAACCATCTGTAATGGGGTCTGGTGCCCCCTTCTGGCCTGCAGGTATACACACAAACAGAATATTGTATACATAATAAATAAAATAAATAAATTGTTTTTAAAAAAGGAAAAAGAGTAAGAAACCACAAAGAAGATTTGAAGACAAGACCTTCCCAAATCCTGGGGGTCTAGGGAGAGAAACAGTCACAAATGGTTTCTGTGCAAGACACTACAGGAAAGCAATGACATGTCTGCATGATGTGTTGGAGCAGATAGGAAGGGTCTGTATGGGTCCCATTCGGCTCTCCTACAACATACAGGGACATGTGTGTTGCGGGAGGTCCTCCCACTCCTCCAGCCTATAGCCGCTGAGATACCAGCCCATTGGGGCGTGGTCTCTCTTCCTTTAAAAAAGCAGCCACTTCCCTCTCCTCTCTCTCTTCACTTCCTGCTCCACTGGCGACTAGACTCCCTTCCTGGTTGCGCAGAGGGCTGAAGGTGATCTGTAAGTTTTTTCCCCTTTAAATAAATACCACCCTATTAATCATAATTCCAAACTGGTGTGGCATTGTTTATGACTTACGCCTTCACATGTGGATTACACAATGATATTCCATGTGCTCAGTGCAGGCTGCTCATGACACAGAAAGTCAGTGCCCCAACAGGCTCAAAGAACTTGTAGTAGGGCTAGAGAGATGGCTCAGCACTTAAGAGCACTGCTTGCTCTTCAGAGGTCATAAGTTCAATTCCCAGAACCCACATGGCAGCTCATGATCAGAAGAGTCTAACCAGAGTCTTCTGGTCTGTAGGCATACATGCAGACAAAGTACCTATATACAAAAAATAAATCTTAAATATATATATATTAAATATACTATTTATGGTATATATTAAATATATATAGTGGTAATTTAAAAAATGCTTAAAAAAAGAACTTGCATCAACCTGTCAAAAATTAGATACAAATGGACACATCTCAGCAAACCGCAGTACAGACATGATGGAGGAAGGTCATTGGCCAATAAAGAAACTGCTTGGCCCTGTGGGTGGAGTAAACAGAACAAAATGCTGGGAGGAAGAGGAAGTGAGGGCAGAGACTCAACTGCTCTCCGCTCGGGAGCAGACGCCTCAGAGAGAGATGCCATGCCCTGCTCCCGGGATGAAGCTCCGACCCAGGATGGACTAGGCTAGAATCTTCCCGGTAAGACCGGTTCTCACAGATTATTAGAGATGGGTTGATCGGGATGTGAGAGTTAGCCTGTAAGTGCTAGAGCTAAAGGGCCAAGCAGTGATTAAAAGAATACAGTGTCTGTGTAATTATTTTGGGGCATAAGCTAGCCATGTGGGCGGCCGGGTGTGGGGGACGCAGCCCTGCCGCCCCATATTACTACATATGGCGCCCACGTGGACAACTGCTTCCACATAAAGCCTGAGACAGCTTGGGAAGTAATTCTAGAACAAAATGAAAACATTGTGCCTGGTTTCATGGTAGCAGCAATTTCTCGGTTCTACTCTGCTTACTAGAGGCAAGCAAGCGCCTCATCTAAGAGAGGCTTCCTGACTCAGCTTTAGCTGCAAAGCCTGCAGCTCATTAAGAGGTCCTGCCACGAAACACTTAAACGGTGTTGACGAAAAGCTGAACACATGCTTTTCGGTTTTCAGCCATAGCAGGAAAAAAGCTGTGCCATTTAAAAATGCCGGCTTTCTGGGCCATCCTGCCAGGGCAAACTCTGACTGTTTGAGGCAGGAGGGCTGGCTACCGAGAGAGGACTTGAGTGTTGTCTGTTGTAGCTCGCTGGCTGGCAGGGACCTTGAAACGCCATAGAGGTGTGGCTATAAACATGGCTGCAGCCTGTATATCCGCCATGAGGCTGGAAAGCTAAGGAATGGACTGGATCTAGCTGGCAAAGCCACGCCTTTAATCCTACTGATATTGCTTGGTAAATTAAAGACTCGTGTGGTCAGAAAAAGAGAGATATACAGTAAAGAGAGATTCAAAGACAAAGAAAATTTCTAAATGGTTTGAAGTGTGTTAAAAATATATGCAGACTAAAATTTAACGTTCTTAAAGTAACAAAAAAAAAAAGGAAGAAAGTTGTGTGTGTGGTAGCACACGCCTTTAATCCCAGTGCCTAGAAGGCAGAGACAAACAGATCTCTGTGAGTTCAAGGTGTAGTAGTGTACACCTTTAATCCCGAATGCCTGGGAGGCAGAGACAGGCGGATCTCTGAGAGTTCAAAGACAGCCTGGTTTACAGAGTTACTTCAGGTCAAAGATACAGAGAACCTGTCTCAAAAAGCAAAGAGTTAAAAGTAAAAATAAACAAAATAGAGGTTAAAACAAAGCTGCACAAAGATGGAAAATACACAGAGAATCTTAACACTGTATGCTATTATGCTCTCTTTGAATTATTTGAATGCTGAGGAAGGAGCAACAGCTGCTAAAAGATATTTGTTTATAAATGCTGCTGAACTAATCCAACAAAGATATTTTGAATTTGTATCTAAGGATATGATACTTTGGAAAAGAGTTTCTTATTTTGTTTTCACAGAGGATGAGACGCTGTTCATTTCTTCTATTCTGATTTGGTATGATGGACCACGCCCTCCTGAAGGGTTGGTGTGAACGCCTTCAAAAAATTGCTTCGCTCAACTGCCAACTGAGATGAAGCTAACACACAGGTTATACCATGAAAGACCTAATTAACGACGCCCCCATTCAGCAGGAAGCAGTTTGGAGAGAAATAACTGCGCCCATATTCCCAAAAAATGTTTATAAATGTTCTTTTACATTTAAAGGGGGATATGATATAGGTATGAATAATTTGCATTAGTATAGATTTTGCTTTATTGATAGAGATTTACGGTGTTTCTGATTTTGATTAAGGTATTGTGATTGTGTAGTTCATTTAAATATGTACTGTATAATTAAGAAATATAGGTTGTTAATGGATAATCATCAATACTAGTAAAGCTTGTAGTCATGTTAGTTAGATTTTCTAGATATATAGAGATATATTTTAGATAGACATTCTTCATGTCTTTCAAAGATTACAGAATAGGACATTTAATGTTTTAATAACTTAGGACTTTTCATGACAATGAGACACTCTGCTCCTGGCAGCACCAATCTACTTCGAGAGGAAGATGGGTATCAAAGAGGATCCTTATGGAGTTTGATAGCCATTTGGGCAAGAAACTGTTCTTGCCTGGACTATTGCATAAACTGGACACAGAGAACCTGCAGAGAGAGGACTACTGAACTTGCCTAAGGTGAGATGATCTTTCGGGGTTCCTGATTCATTTTGAAAGAGTCTGCGAGACATTCTGCAGGACACAACAGATAGTGACTAAACTGACTTTGAATTTTCCTGCTTTATGGAAATGTCTGCTGGATACCATGGGCCTGAAGGCTGAAGATGGATGCCCCAACGGTACAGAGGAACTTTGGGTGACTGTCCAGGCAGCGAGATGTCTTTGTCATTTCTAGAGTTTGAAGTTTCTTAGTTCTTGTTTACTTAGGTAATATTATATCTTTCTGGAGTCTTTGATGGAGTTAAGAATAGTTAGTTATAGTTATAGTTTTCCTTAGTTATGATAAAGATTATTGTAACTTTTACTTGATAACTGTTTTGTTATATGTAATTTTGCTATGTTAAAGTTAAAGCCTTTTTTTTGTTTAAACCGAAAAAGGGGAAATGATGGAGGAAGGTCATTGGCCAATAAAGAAACTGCTTGGCCCTGTGGGTGGAGTAAACAGAACAAAATGCTGGGAGGAAGAGGAAGTGAGGGCAGAGACTCAACTGCTCTCCGCTCGGGAGCAGACGCCTCAGAGAGAGATGCCATGCCCTGCTCCCGGGATGAAGCTCCGACCCAGGATGGACTAGGCTAGAATCTTCCCGGTAAGACCGGTTCTCACAGATTATTAGAGATGGGTTGATCGGGATGTGAGAGTTAGCCTGTAAGTGCTAGAGCTAAAGGGCCAAGCAGTGATTAAAAGAATACAGTGTCTGTGTAATTATTTTGGGGCATAAGCTAGCCATGTGGGCGGCCGGGTGTGGGGGACGCAGCCCTGCCGCCCCATATTACTACACAGATGAGAATCACGCCACCTTGTTTTCAACCAATAACCATACACCATTAATCCCCTCTACATAAAATCTTAGAAGAAAGGGGATACAAAGATGGTGAATTGACTATAATCTAAACAGAATAAAAGAACAAGTAGAATAGAGGTTTAAGGTAGACAGTTCAATTATGGAGGAAAACAGGGCACATTACTTTGCATACTTGAGTTTCTCTGTGGAATACTTTTACTACATTTCTTTTATTTTTCATTTTATTTTATTTTTTGTTTTCAAGAGAAAGTTTCTCTGTATAGCCCTGGCTGTCCTGGAACTTACTCTGTAGACCAGGCTGGCCTCAAACCCAAAGATTTTCCTGCCTCTGCCTCCGAGTATTGGGATTAAAGATGTGTGCCATTGCTGCTTAACAACATAACATAACCTCAAGGGTCAGGGAGAAGATGAGAAGGAAAAGGGGAGAGAGGGAGAGATGTGAAGATATGCTGTTGGCTTTGAAAATAATATAAGGAGCTTTTAGACAAGATACAAATGGCTTCTAGAAGCTAAAAAAAATAAACAAACAAATAAAACCAAAAACAAATTGTCCCCAGAATAGAAGGAAATTCCAGAATGAACACAACTTGCCAATACTTTGGTTTTTAGATCCAAACACCATTTTTAATTTCTGATCCCCAGAACTGTAAATAAATACTTGAACACAGATAGATCTGATACCAGCCATTTTCTCAATAAAACCAAAGCATTCCAACAATCAATGAAAATTTTCGCTGTATCAGCTTATTTCTCATGTAGTATTCTAAACACACAACATAAACAGAACTGAAAGGCAGGTTCAGGTTACATTTTAAAAAGCTAAGAAGCTGCAGAACTGGCTCCATGGTTACTTTGTAAAGGGCTCCTTTGGATCTTAGTCCCCACATGGCAGCTCCTAACCATTACAACTTGAATACCAGGAGATCTGATGCCCTCTTTTGACTTCTAAAGGCAACTGTATGCACATGGTGCACATAAAGACACGCAGACAAATCACTCATACACATACAATAAATAAATCTTTTGAAAAAAATCTTTAAAAAAAAAGTATGTAGCTTAATAGTAGACTACTTGACTAGCATCTAAGAGGCCCAGGGTTTGATCCCTGGTATTGCGTCATCATCATCAAATTATAAAACAAAACTTACCTTAGCACTATTAACAACAGTCAAAATAAGAAGCAACCTAAATGCCCATCAACAGAAGAATGAATAAAGAAAATGAGTTTGCTCAGCCACAAAGAATAGAGTAACAACATTCTCAGGAAAATGGACAAAACAGAGGATAATTAACTGAAATAAACCAGATTCAAAATGATTAATTGCATGTTCTCTCTGATATTAGGACATAGATTTAGCTATACACGTGTGTGCCTGAAAACCAAGTGGGAAGATGTAGCTCAAATTCTAATTCCTGTTAATAATTAAAACCCGGAGTCAGATGTTAGGGGGTGAAAGCTGAGAGAACAGAGAAGTAGAGCTGACAGCCACTAGGGTGTTCTCACCTCTACACTCTGATCTTCAGACAAACCTTCTTTGTTAAAGCACAAACAAAATATCACTAGAGGCCTATTTACGGGAAGAGGGAAGGAAGTGCGTGTGAATATGAGCAAAGCACAGTACGCATGTGTGAAAATATCCATACATCTTATCATTTTGTATTCCTACTAAACAAATGAGTAAAAAATCCAAGAAACAGACAAGACAGCTGCTAGGATAATTTAAAAACTAGTTTCTTACTAAAGAATCAATGAACAAACTAAGATTTCAACAAATAAACAAACAAACGATCCCCAGCATTCAAAGACAGCTTTGAACTGAGTTCATCAAATAACTTTACCAGAAATAATTGGAGGTCTTTTTTTTTTTAAAAAAAAGCTATGTTTATTTATTTTGGGGTGGGAGGGATACATGCCTTCACACGTAGAAGCCAGGGAACAACTTTGGGGTCACTTCTCTCCTTCCACCTATACTTGAGATCCAGGGATCAAACTCAGGTCAAAGCAAGTGACTTTACCCACTGAGTAAATATTACTGGCCCTGAAAATATTTTAATTACTCAATAAAAACTAATAAGTAACAAAGATATACATAGTAATAAAGATTATCTTTTACCTCTTAACTGAAAGATTCTTGGAAATCTTGCCAAAAAACTCTGCTTCTGCATCTTGATTTTCAGCACTTAGTTCAAAATGGATTGGATTTTTGTCAGAAGGTTCAACATTCTGAAATGGAGAAGGTCATATTCTGAGATCTGATTTACAATATCAAAGAATTCTACCTGAATAGTAGCTCTGGATCACTGCCAGAAGGAACACTTTCGGTTTCTGTGACCTGCTTCTGTAGAATGCCTGGCTTCCTGCTTTGTATGTGAAAATAAAAACCTAACCCTGTATTATGAAACTCACTCAGTAACCATGGACTCGGTGAATATAACAACATGTAAAAACATTTAAAAAAACATACTCATGAAATGATACAATCTATAAATGAATTCAAAGAAAACAAATGGAGCTGAGTGGAACCACATGGTTATTTGGAGTTATGCAATACTCTTATAATAATAAAATACTGAATATACTTTTGCTACTTAAGACCTAAGATAAACAGTAATTAATTTTAAAGAAGTAGTGTTTAAACCAGAAACAACGGTAGACACATATAGTCCTAGGTACTCAAGGAGGCTGAGATAGGAGGATTATTTGAGGAAAGGAGTTTGAAGCCAGCCTGGGCAAATTACTTTTTTATTTGTTTGTTTGTTTGAGCAGGGCCCCTCTACATAGCCATGGCTAGCCTGGAACTCACAATGTAGACCAGGCTGGCCTCTAACTCGGAGATCTGTCTGATTTGGCCTCTGCCTCCCGAGTGCTGGGCATGTGACACCATATCCGACTTATCCTTTAAATGTAGTTCTTATATGACAATTTCAAAAACCTACTTTCTCTGTAATGGCCACCTAGATGCTGCAGCATTTATTTTTAAAGGTAAAATGCAGGTCTGGCTGTCCTGGAACTCACTATGTAGACCTCTGAACTCACAGATATTCACCGTCCTCGGCCTACTGAGTACTGGGATTAAAAGACTGTGCCACTAGACCTGGTTCCTAGATGCATTTTTATGTACTTTGTTGGGTCTCCTAGAACTAAAGTTACAAAAGGTTGTGAGCCACCATGGGGATTCTGGGAACTGAAGACAGGTCCTCTGGAAAAGCAGCCAGTGCTCTTAACCACGAAGTCATGTCTCCAGCTCCCATGAAAATCTTTTATATATTAATTCACCCACATATTTTAAAAATAAGTGGTAACAAGGAAAACACTACCATCAAAAATTAATCCTCAGCAGCACAAAATAATACAATATATAAGTTACTGACAAAGTGACTAGAGTAAATCTTTACTATCAACTTGACTAGACTTACATTCACCTATATGGATGAGGCATCGCTACATATTATTAGTGAAGGTGTTTCCAGAGAGGACTAACTGGTAAAAACCAGAATGTGGGTGGTACCATTGCATGTGCTGAAGCCCTGACTGAAACAAGGGGTGTAAAAAAGACACAGTGAAGCATCTGTATTTCTGCTTCTGGGTTAGCCATGAAGTGAGTAGCTCTTTGCTACCATACAGCCCTACCATGATGTTCTGCTATAGCACATGAGGCCAACCTACCACAGCCCGAGCTCTCTGAAACTGGGAGCCCTAAGAAACCTCTGCTTCCTTATTTATCTCGCATTCTTTGCTCAGAGTGATGAGCAAAATAACAGGCACAAAGGCGAGTCTAAGCACTTACATTGAAAAGATGCAAAGTCTCCTTGTTGGTTAGTAACTGAAACTGAAGGCCAGGCTTCCTACTGTCACAAGGAAGGCACTCATAAAATTCAGGTTCCTTATGTGTCAGTGAATAAAGAACTATGATGAAATTTCCAGATTCCGAAAAAACCCTGAACAACAACAACAACAACAAAAAAAAGTAATTGAATTAAAATCTAGTGCTAAAGATATTATACTGAAAGATCTCCCAGGAAAGTTTCCCAATCTAGTCAACAAACTGTGTAAAGTACATGCGCTTACCTTTTGTTGTTATTTTTTAAAGATTTGTTTATTTTTGAATAATATATTTAATTTTATGTCCATCAGTATGAGGATGTCAGATTCCCTGGAACTGGAGTTGTGAGACAGACAGCTGTGAGCTGCATGTGGGTGCTGGAAACTGAACCCAGGTCTTCTGGAAGAGCATCTTAACTGCTGAGCCATCTCTCCAGCCCCCAAAGATTATTTTTGTTTTATGTGTTTGTCAGTATGTATGCACCTGCACGATGCACATTCCTGTTGCCCTTGGAGGTGCAGAGCCAGTATGTGGGCACTGGGAATCAAACCAGGGTCCTCTGCAAGTGCAGTCAGTGCTCTTAACCATTAAGCCATCTCTCCAGCCCCCAAAGTTCTTAAATTTTAAAAAATTCTATAATAAAATATATAAACATTCCTTGCAAAACATCAAACTAGTATGTATAAAATGGAAAAAACTTCCTTTTCAAAAATGAACACACACACAGCAAGACTATGCACACAATGGTATATACCTATAGCTATACGGAAGAGTGAAAAAGGATCACTGGAGTTCAACACCCACCTGAGCTTTTACTGAATATTTACTGTCTATCAAAACTTAAAAACAAGATGTGTAATTGATAGCCAGGTGGCGGTGGTATACACCTTTAATCTCAGCACTTGTGAGGCAGAGGCAGGCAGATCTGACAAGGCTACCTGATCTACAGAGCATGTTCCAGGCTAGCCAGGACTATACAGAGAAACCCTGTCTTGAAAACCCGGGGGGGGGAGGGGATGAATAATTGATAATAAAGCTAAATTGTACTAAATCACAGAAAAGAGCCCACAAAGCACATTTAGCACCCTGGGACTAAAGAGATGGCTCAGTGGTTAAGAGTCCTCACAACCATTTGTAACTCCAGTCCCATGAGACGGGACATCCTCTTCTAGGCTCCATGTAGGCTCCATGAACACCAGGGATGCATGTGAAACACAGACATACATAAAGAGAGATACCCATATACATAAAATAAATAATAAAATTTTTTTTTAAAAAGAAAACATTTAGCACCCTTCTTCTCTTTTTGTCTGTCTGGGATAAGAACTCACTGGCTTGGAACTTGCTATGTAGCCCAGGCTAGCCTCAAACTGGTCCTCCTGCCTTAGCCTCCCAGTGCTAGGATTATAGGTAAGGTAGGCCTCATTATGTCTGGCTTGTTTTAGTAACCACCCCCCCCCAAAAAAAAAAAGAAAAAATTCACTTGGAAAGAAGAAGGATGTACAAAAAGTATAATTATAAAAGCATCTGAAAAAATACAGGAATTCTTTCATTTTAGTAATACACCAAAAGTGGGAAAAGCCCAAGCAAGAAAGAAAAACGGTAAATTTGACTTAAAATAAAAAAAAATCTTGGGGTTAAGCCTAGAGATTAATCAGTCAGTCATTAAGAGCACCTGCTTGTAGTGATATTTTGTTTGTGCTTTAACAAATAAAACTTGCCTGAAGATCTGAGTGCAGACCTATGCCACTAGAGGCCAGGCAGTGGTGGCTCACACCTTTACTCCCACTACTTGGGAGTCCCATGCCTTTAATCTCAGCACTAGGGAGGTGGAGACAGAAAGGGAAATGGCTGCGTGGAGAAAGAAATATAAGGCAGGAGGAGAAAGAAGCTAAGATGCAGTCTGAGGCAACAGTCTGAGGAGACAATCTGAGGACAGCATCACTCCTTTGGTGTGAGCATCAGTAGAAATAAAAGGTCTAGTGGCTGGACACTATGCTTCTCTGGTCCTTCAGCTTTTATGCTGATAACTGACTTTTTTATTATTACTTTTACTATTAAAAACAATTAGAATTCGTGCTACAGCTGCTACTCTTCTAGAGGATCTGGGCTTGATGCCCAGCACCCAGCTGACAGTTACAGCCACCTGGAACTCCAGTGCTTGGTCCACAAGGCTCTCTTCTAGCCTCTGTGGGCACCACGTATGCAAATAGTACACAGACATTCATAGAAGCAAAACACACTTAGAACAAAATAACCACCACAACACAACAAAATAAAAGTTTCAGCATAGGTCAGAGATGTACAAAGCTTTGGCTTGGAGACCCAGCACAATGAGGAAGAAGAATACAGTTGGGGAAAAATATTGTAACTAAAATGAAGTGAAGTAATAATTCAAGGGAAGAAAGGTTTGCTCTAAGTATTTATATGCTATGTGGGCAGAGAGAAATGGGGAAAGAGAAAAAGGAGGGAAGTGCATGACCCTACAAATATATGAGAAAGAAGCACAATCCAAGACAAACTAGCCAGAGACACCAGGAACAGCAGCCTATGCCTGTAGTTCTAACACTCAGAGGCCAGGGCAGCAAGACTGCCCTGAGTTCAAATTCAATCTGGGCTACACAGTGAATTCAAGGCCGTTTTGGCTAGAGGTTAAGACCCTGTCTCAAAAGACTGAAGAGAAAGCAAACAAAGGCTTTCCGCTCACCTGTTTTGAGCTCATATCCTGCTTCTCTGCCCTTCTGTCTGGCCATACTAGCATCCTTATGTGTGATCTTTCATTCAGAGCCTCTGGAGTTAACACAGCCTATGCCTACCCACGATAGCTACAGCTTACCTTCCTTCTCTGTAGTCTCATTTAATAAAAGAATTATTTTTCTTTCTTTCGTTTTTTAAAAGATCTGTTTATTATGTATAGTGTTCTGTCTGCATGTTTGCCTGCATGCCAGAAGAGAACATCAGATCTCATTGTAGATGGTTGTGAGCCACCATGTGGAAGCTGGGAATTGAATGTAGGACCTCTGGAAGAGCAGTTAGTGCCCTTAACCTTTGAGCCATCTCTCCAGCCTAAGGATTATTTTTCTTAAAGTATGCATTTATTAAGTATTATAAAAGATTAAAACAGTCTATGTATTATACAATTCATTATACTATAAACTAATACAGAATAAATAGGGAAATAAACTAAAATACTATAGGATAAAATATCACTTGCCTTTCCTGAATAGAAGAACTGAACATGTATCTCAAGCAGCAAGCCCAGACCTGAGGGCTGTAGATATGTATAATTCCAGAAAGCCAACTAAAAGAAAAAGACAGAAAGCATATCATCAGTCAAGTATGGTGGCACATGCCTGTGGTCCAACACCTGCAGGCTGCGGCAAATTCTACGGCAGATCTTACCTAAAAATAAAAACAAAATAAAAATAAAAGAAATTTTTGTTTTAATAAAGGGAAATTTATTTTTAAATTTTTAAATTTACATGCTTTAGATTACATCATTTCCAAGATTGATCCTTGATGCTCAACAGCGGCACATTCAAAGCTTCACAAATAAGAAATCACACTGATAATACAGAGGCAACATTATCATATCCCATCTACATACAGAAAGAGGTGAGAACATGCTCTTTGTTCTTTCACTCGGATGTGGGAGAGAAAACTGGTTTGTGGAGATAAAAGTAGGATGTCAGAATAAATTAGCCTGGACCAGAAAAGAGTTGAATTAGAGATTAGAGAAAACTAAAATTTGTGGCTTAAAATTAAAGTTGAAGAGGCTCAAATGCTATAACTATATACAGAGATAGCCCAAAATATAGAGATACTTATAGGGAAATCCTCACAATTGCCAGGCAAGGTGGCACACAACTCTAACCCCAGCACTTGGGAGGCAGAGGCTGATGGATCTCTGAGTTCAAGACCAGCCTGGTCTACAGAGCAAGTTCCAGGAGAAAGAAACCCTGTCTTGAAAAACAAATAAACAAATGCCACAAGAATTCCTTTACAAAAAAAAAGCTAGGACTTCTCTGTGTAGCCTTGGCTGTCCTGGAATTCGCTCTGTAGTACTGGGATTAAAGGTCCACCCAGGCATAATGACTTATTTTACACTGTGCTTACTGTTTATAGTGGTCATAGTTATAGTGGTTTATAGTGGTTATAGTTTTCATTGGTAAATCATATACTTTATTATTGTCTATTTTTTCTATTTGTAAATATCTTAGCACTTCAGTTTGAGTATAAATTCCTTTAAAAGGGATTTTAAACCCTAACACAATGAAACACGCTATGCACACAAAAAGCATGTAATGGAAAGACTGAGTTTCTGAACCGTCTTTCTCAATGTCATTAACCCAGTGACTGTAGAGAAAAAAATATTAACATGAAAGGGAATCTGTTCAACTGCACATCAAGAAATTTTAATTCTATTACATTGAGCCCTGGATTCTTCAAGATACCATAAAGTCAAGATAATGAGAGAAGGATAGAGACCTTCAACTTCAGTTAGGATTCAGAAATACTGTATTTTAATTGATTCTAATAGTAAAATATAGAAGCTTAAGAATCAGCAGCTTTTATGGCTTTATAAAATGAGCTCAAGCCAGACTTGGTGACATACTCCTTTAGTCCCAGCAATCTCGAAGCAGAGGCAGGAGGATCTCTGTGAGTTCCAAGGTAGCCAGGGCTATATAGAAAGGTCCTACCTCAAAAACAAAAGAAACAAATAAACACAAAAAAACAACAACAAAAGATGAGCTCAATATTCATAATACATTTAATTTTTTCTTATCATCTGGATACACACCAGGCTGAAAGAATTTCTTAAGAGAATAATACTTACATTCCCACTAATGGTAGAGAATAAACCTTGGGATCAGATTCCAACAAAAGTAACAATTTTCGTGTTTCATCCATGGTGATATATCTAAATAGAACAGACTTATGTAAGAATAATTTCAAGTATATGCTTTTAACCCAAAACAGGCAAACTGAGTCCTGAAACATATTTTAGGTAATGGGTGAAAGACAGACCACAGAGACAATATGTGTAACTTTCCATCTATTAAAACAGTCATTTATGATTTCATACTTAAAATATTTTACTCCTTAACATTACTTACATGCTACTTTTAAATAATGTTAACATTAAAAAGGACAATTTCAGAACCTATTAAGTTACTGGGTAGAGTGAAATTCCTGTTACTGGAAGTGTGCAAATATCCCGCAACTTGGTAAGAGAACTGTGACTTCTCAGGGAAAAGACTGCAGATAATGAATCCTCCAGACACATGCCTCCGGCCTCTGCCAAAGCCTATGATAACAAAACTCAAAACCCACTTCCCCAAAAGGACATTATAAAACCTTGGGCTGGATATAAGACTAAGCGAGGGGCTGATGAGACGGCTCAGTGATTGAGGGCCCATACTGCTCTTGTAGAGGTCCCAAGTTTGGTTCCCAGCACCCATGCTGGGCAGCTCACAAACACTTGCAACTCCAGCTCCAGAGGATCCAACATCTTTTGGCTTCCTCAAGCACCTGCACTGACTTCTACAAACCTACTGTTAGATACACAAACATACATAATTAAAAAAAACAAACAAACGAAAACTGAATATCCCATGTCCTGCTTGCTACCAGAATACCAAGAGATTGCAGATGGGTAAATGCAAAAACAGCTCATTCTATGTGAGCAAATGAACATGAGCACAGATAAAGGAAAATCACTTGATGGTCAATTTAAAAGAAAACATTCTCATGTTAAAGAACACTTTATTATTCCAAAGATATAAATGTTTCATTCAAGTAGTTTTTGGTCACTGTGGCTTTTGATCATTTGCAATATAATTAATACATTTCCTACTGTGCCATTTCAACCAGCAGTCATGATTCTAGTCAAAATGTGAATTCAAAATGGGACGTCCTTGCTACTCAAAGAAAAAAGTCCTTTTTTTTTTTTCTTCTTCTGTAGAAGAGTAGAGCATATTGTGGCAAGTGGTTTTGGCTCTAGAAACCTAACAGGAACTAGGGTGGAATCAGTGGGAAATAAAGCCAAAAGTGTAATGAATGCTTACAGCCACTTCTGCTCAAACTTTTAAGGCCAGGTACTTCCACTGTGGAACCCTGTCCAGTAGATGTTAAGCAAATGACAATCCAGGGAAGCAGTCTTGCGGAGGATCAGAAAGCATGCATCTTGACCTGGGAAACTCAGGGACAGAGTCACAGGAGTCTGTTCTGCTACTGAAGGGAAGGCCACCCTTCAGCAGGTGAGCATGTGGTGAGCAGGAGCACGGCAGATCTTTCCTGGCCTTGTTCTCTACCTGCAGTGCCCATTACCGACAGCTAAAGCACACACTATGCATAAATTCTCCAGCATTTTTTAGATTCTATCAGATCTTTGTTAATAAAAGAAAGAAAATAACGTATAAGGTAGGCAAAATACAACTTATTTTTCCCTCCACTTTTTTTTTTAAAAAAATCAAATTATATATCAACTGATGTATTTTGTGTGGTGTTGGGGACTTGGAGACTGAACTTAGACTCAGACTTACAGATACAAGTACGCTATCGGTGAGCCATAATTCTAACTCCACAGCCAATATTTTCTTTCCTTTTTGGAGAGGATCACTATGTAGCCCTGAAACTCACTATGTAGACCAGGTTGGTCCCAAATGCACAGAAATCTGCCTGCTGCTGCTTCCTAAATGCTGAGATTAAAGGAGTCTGACATCATGCCCTGAAATCTACTTTAATATAATTTTTTAATTACCAACTTTTTATAGTGTGAAGCACAACTGTGTAACAAAAATAAGACTGTTATACTACAACAGCTGATTGCATGCTTAGCATATGCAAAACCGTAGATTGAATACCCAGCAACAAATATTCAGAAATAAGTAATTTTATCTCCCCTTATTGCTGACCAAATGGCTGGATCTCTAACATGAAAAAGACTACAGAATTTAGTACTGTGTGGGTATCTTGAGAAATATATTAATTCAATCAATATTTGTGAGCTTAGACTAATGGATTTTTTTTTTACTTACCCATGTTTATAGGTTCCTTGAATTTGAGCAATATTCAGATTACTACTTAGGTTTCTTGCCAGAGCAGTAGGAATAATGGGGATAGGCTTCACAGGCACACATTTGAAGGAATTTGCTAGCGTTATTGCTGCCCAATGCAAGTCAAAATCCACACCATCCAAACTCTCCCTGGAGGTGATTTGAGCTCGCAGGGAAAGCAGCTTTCCACAGTCCAAGCAATCTTTGCTACATACATGGTACTGCAAAGCCTGAGGAACCAATATCATAAAATTATAACTTTGAAATGCATCCATAGCTTTCAAGTTCCTAACATTGTTATAGACACCTCTGTAATATCTTACAATGACAAAATTAAGTTAGTTCTAATTAACATTTCAATTCTCATTTCTTCCACACGATCAAAAGATTATGTGAGTAATTTAATCAGCAGTCTTAAGCTCCAACATAAGTTTCCAACTTGGATGTCTAACAGCTCTCTTCAAATTTTTTTTTTTTTTTTTTTGTTTTTGAGACAGGGTTTTTCTTTGCAGCCCTGCTGTCAAACTCACAGAGGTTTGTCTGCCTCTCAAGTGCTGGGATTAAAGGCATGTGTTAATACTGCCCAGCTACTCTTCTAATTCTTGCTGGGCAATTATCACCTCTAATAAATTTTACTATACTGGGGGTGGGTGGTGGTGGAGTATGTAAATTAATTATGACTCAGCCTTAGAGAATCTCAATCATTCCTTTTTGGTTCCTTTTTCAAATTATTAGGGTAACTCTTCTTCCATATTTATCCTTCTTTACTATGCCCTTTCTATCCTTATTGCTACCACTGTCTGTACATGTGAGATTGATGTATACATACACACACACAGACACACACACCTAATACACATCCAACCTAGTGGACCATTCTCTCTGGCTTCAGTCAGCTTTCAGAAACCTCCAATAACTACACAAAAATTTCCTTTACCTAAAAAAGTCTCTCTATAATCTGACTAAACAAATATTCCAGTCTAATAGCCCTCAGCAGAAGTTTATATACTACTAGCAACCTTGAGCACTTTCTGAACTTTCCTGTCTTGATCACATCTCTTCCTCTCTGGAATATTATGCATATCTCTGGCCTCAGAAACCACATTACCTCGGATTTTTATGTCCACAATAATTCAATCACAGATCATTACAAATAATTCTCATTACAGACTTATTAAAATACTATAAACCACACACAGTACGATTCTTATATGTAATTAAAAATGTCATCTGCACTTCAGACACAGGACTCAGGGGACCTGAGCTGGACATGACCCAAAGCCTCCTCCCAGAGGACGAGCATTCAACTACTAGAGGTGCCATGGCAACTTCTAAGGGAGGGAAGCAATTAGTCCTTCCCACCTGTGACACCTATGACCCACAACAAGGAAGCATGGCACACTAACCATACAGGAGCACTAGTGGAACACACATCGCGGTGGTAACCAACAGCTTTCTAATTGGACTTCAAACCCACTCAAGAAAGAAATTATGTCGGGCCTGGAAACATGGCCAACTGCCCAGGGCTAGAAAAGTCATGGATTCTGGAAAACCTTCAAGTTTACTGAACTACATAATTCCCAAGTACAATCTAAATATTTATCCTTCCTCAAACAGGTAAGTTGTAATTCTCACCCCTCATCAAAGAAACTTGTCTTTGTAATAGGAGGCCATTACAGAAAACCACAACCAATCAAAATGCAGAGATTAAGTTCCAATGGGTACTTCTATAACACAACTCCTGTACCCAAGGCCCAGGGATCATTGCTGAAGAGGACAGAAAGATTGTAAGAGCCAGAAAACAGGACGTTTGCTGTGAGATTGTCTCTACTAGAAATGTCAGAGAGGCTATACAAATGAAGTCTCACCAACATGGCCGCCTGAGTAAGTCCCAAAGAATGGCACCACCACCAATGAACATGCTGTCGTGGAAGGCGGAACTCTTGTGAGGCCTCAACCTTACACAAAGAGCTACTATAGGCAACTGAGAATGTTGGGGGAGGGGGGAGTCTTCCCCAGGGAAGAGGACACTAATTGGTTATCCAATACTAAGTGGTTGGCCCTGAGATAATATTATACAGACGGAGTAGGTTGAAGCTGTGTGTGTCTTTGTGTGTGGGATCTGTAACAATAATTTTTTTTAAAAAGCCATAAATTTGAGAGAGCAAGAGGGGTGTACATGGGAGGGAGGAAAGGGGGAGATGATGCAATTATAATTTCAAAAAACAAAAATTGTTATAAAAATGTTATGAGTGAATTTCACCTTTAAAGTTGAACTGAAGTCATCTGCATTATGAACTATCATATCTCTTGAACAAAGTCCTTGAGTATGAACTTTGCAGGGGATCAGAAAATCTCCAGGAAGAGACGCAGTAGGAGCTCTTTCTAAGCACTCGGGGACGGCTCGACCAGGATCAAAGCGATCCACTGTCAGTGTCACACCTTCTTCATCTGCAGACACAACAGCAACCGTTACACAGCATGCTAACTAAACACAGAAAACACCAAACCAAACCATTTTAGCAAAGTACATTGATCATACTGGTAGTATACTAAAATCTTACATTTAAAAAAATGATTTGCTGGGGCTGGAGAGATGGCTCAGTGATTAAGAGCATTGCCTGCTCTTCCAAAGGTCCTGAGTTCAATTCCCAGCAACCACATGGTGGCTCACAATCATCTGTAAAGAGGTCTGGCGCCCTCTTCTGGCCTTCAGGCATACAGACAGAATATTGTATACATAATAAATAAATGAATGAATGAATGAATGAATGAATACATATTTAAAAAAATGATTTGCTGAGAGCCTACAGTTGAATACACCATGAATTCTGTAGTGGGTAGTTTACTCATTTTCATATCCATGGTGTATAGCAAAGATATTAGCAAAAGCATATACAGCAGCTGGCTGAACAAATGTACATTCTATAATAGCCACACAATATTTTTTTAACAACATATTACCTTCATCCACTGTGAGAGAACCAAGTAAGAAGCATGGCACATTGTTTTTATTCTGCTTAGCATGACGATAAGCAAGTCGGATGGCCTTTTCAGTTACCACAAGTTTTGGCTTTCTGAAAAATAAGAAAGTCTCTTATGAATGTGGCATACCTGATCCCCTAAAAATAAAACCCTTCCTATAAAGGACTGACTAAAATATACACAGAATCTAAAAAATGTACACAAAGATTACCATCAGGAGATCCCTAGTTATTGCCAAGTAACCCTATAATAGACAAGGCCACCTGAAAACCATATTGGCCATAAACTGACAAGAAAGGTACAAATGTCCCTCAGGCTCTGGCTTAACCTGGACCAGAGCACAAAATGATAAACCAAGGCCAACAGGTTTCTGTAAATAAAGTTTTAAGAGAAATAGTCACATTCACGTGTTTACATATCATTTATGTCTAATAACAATATTCCTGAATACCAAACATAAATAAATATATTTAAAACAAAAGAGCTGGTCATGGTGGCATGCACCCTTAATCTCAGAGCTCAGGAGGTGCAGACTTCTGTAAGTTTGAGGCCAAGCTGGTCTACATAGTAAGTTTAGGCCAGGCAGAGCTATGTAGTCCCTATCTTTAAAAAAGATGTACGTGGGGGCCGGAGAGATGGATCAGGGGTTAAGAGCATTGCCTGCTCTTCCAAAGGTCCTGAGTTCAATTCCCAGCAACCACATGGTGGTTCACAACCATCTGTAATGGGGTCTGGTGCCCACTTCTGGCCTGCAGGCACACACACACAGATAGAATACTGTATACATAATGAATTAAAAAAAAAAAAGGGTGTGTGTGTGTGTGTGTGTGTGTGTGTGTGTGTGTGTGTAGAGATGGCTCAGTGGTTAAGAGCTCATCCTGTTCTTCCAGAGGTCCTGAGTTCAATCCCAGCACCATCAGGTGGCTCACAAGAAACACCTATAGTCTGAAGGTAATTTCATACGGCTGTATTTTATACATGGGTAAGATGCAGAACGGAGCACTTTTAGTATCTTGTTGACAGTCAGCAAGTTTCTCATTTTGAGGGCACGTGCCTTTGCCAGCTCGACTACCTTGTTAGTCCAAGTTTCAAACTCTAGAATCTGGGGAAATGGTTCCTATCAGGCAAGCACAAAGACCTGAGTTTGGATCTCATAAAGATAGGAACAGTGGCACTATCTGTATCACCCAGTATTTGGAGGAGTGGGGTGCGGGGGTAGGCTGGCCAGCAGTCTAGCTGAAAAGGCAAGTTCCAGATTCAGTGAGATCCTGTTTCAAAGCTAAAGTGGAGAGCAAGAGGGAAGACACTGGACATCAACCTCCGACTTCCACGAGTGGACACACACACACACAAATCAAAGGGAAAAACAGTGGACTTGGGGATTTAGGCAGTCCAACTTATAATTAGTAATAACAATCAAGTCTGTCTTAATATTCTTTAATGATTCATGCTATACTGGTTTGATTGAAAAGAGAAACATACCTGTAGTAACAGAGATGCAAGCAGATGAAATCTCCAATTGGCATTGGGTTCCAAAGAGCCAATTTTGATGGGGGAAAGTGAAAAGGTACCATCTTGCTTGAAGTAAACCTTTAAAAAAAATTAAAGTACAAGAAAAAGCAAACAGTATAAATTTTATAAGGAACAGTTAATTCTCTTTGTCAGGCATTCCAAGTCCTTAAGAGGCCAAGACTAGGAATTCCAGGCCAGCCTAAAAAACAGCTGAAGGGAGCAATGTGAAGGTCATGAACAGCTTTCTCTGAAGAGTTATGCTGAATGTTCAACACATATGTAACATGCTTCAAAATAATTTCTAACTCATTGATAAGTATTTAATGTCTTTCTCTTTCATTTTCCACTCTACATCACTTTTAAAGATAAATCTATAATAATACTTTCCTCAGCACAGTAAAGAAAGGGTCATGCCAGCTGAAATCCGAACTATAACTTTTATTAACTATATAATAGATTGATCAATACCTCTATGTTGTAGTTTATTAATTAAAAAATACTGCATAGGGCCAGGCATGGTGGCACACACGTGGGAGGCAGAAGCAAGCAGGTCTATGAGTTCAAGGCCAGCCTTGTCTACATAGTGAGTTTCAATAGACCAAGGTCTATGTAGGGAGACTCTGCTCAAAATACATGAGAGAGAGAGAACGAATAAAAATACTTCAGTAGTGTGATACGACAGAAGGGTCAAGATGAAAAGGAATGTGATAGCCCCCCTGATCATGTTTCCTATTGTCTTTGTCAAGAACATCTGGCACAAAGGAAGCAGCAGGGAACAGAAAAGCTACCCATGGGCATAACTGTAGTTTATAAGAAAAAGAAAATCCATATGCCAGCATTAATTGTTCCTCTCTACCCATGGGCATAACTGTAGTTTATAAGAAAAAGAAAATCCATATGCCAGCATTAATTGTTCCTCTCTACCCATGGGCATAACTGTAGTTTATAAGAAAAAGAAAATCCATATGCCAGCATTAATTGTTCCTCTCTAGGGGCAATAAAATGATCCAAAGAACCATATCACCCAGTCAGTGTGTCAGGTCCTCCATGTAATAACAGACTAAGAAAAGCAGGGACAGATGGCCAGCTCCTCCTTCCTACTCCACTTGGGAAAACATGGCTTAGGGAAACATGAGGAAAATTGGGATAACCAATGTGAGATGATTACCTACAAGGACTCAGTGCTCGGACAGAAGGAACCAACACTTCCATTCCTCTAGGATGGAAGTAAGCAATCTAAGCAATCTTCTAATTTACAACCTCAGTTCAAGTGATTTCTCACCAATAAAACATCAGTGTCATTAAGTGAGAGGAGAGAGAGCTAATATTTACTAAGTGCTCACTATATGCCCAATCCTTTAGTTTAATCAGCATATTTAATACCTTCCTGGTAATTGATTAAAAGAATTAAAAATTCTTACAGTGAATGAACTAGATCAAGGGATCCACGTAATTAAAGTAGGAGCAGATATTCCTGATTCCAAAGCCTGTGTTCTCTTTTCTCTTCCAGTATTCTGTCTCAAGTTAATGTGGGTAGCTGTAGTAAAACACTGCATGAAAAATATTTTAAAGCCAGGCATGGTGGCATGTGCCTGAGGTCCCAAAGCTTGAGAGGCTAAGGAAAGAGTATTTAAATGAGTCCCGCATTTCAAGACCAGCCTCAGTAACACAGCAAGACCTCCATCTCAAATAACTAAACAGTCAGGTACAGTGAAACATGCCTATAATCTTAGCATCTGGGAGAATGATGTGTGAGTGAACTGGGTGAGTGTGAGGCTAGTTAGGGCTATATATCAAAACTGGGTGAGTGTGAGGCTAGTTAGGGCTATATATCAAAACCTTGACTCAAAAAAAATAAAATAGGACCTGGAGAGATGGTTTAGCAATTAAGAGTACTTGCTTCAAATAGCAGAGGACCCAGATTTATTCTTAGCTCATGTATGGCAGTTCACAACCATCTGTAGCTCCAATTCCAAGGGATCAGATACTCTCTTCAGGCCTCCTTAGGCACCAAGCAGGTATGTGGTACAAATACATATATACAGGCAAAACATTACTAAATATAATAAAAAGAAATAGTTAAATACATAATCAATCAAATAACGTGTCTATACCTGGTATTCATCTGGTACTTTTTATAGAGGAACTACAGGCTCTATACTTGGTGAGTGATTTATTCAATTTCTGGTACTCCGTATCCTACAAAAATAAAAGGATATTGTTAAACATAGAAAAAGAAACATTACTTAAATATATAATGACAAAATTAAGCTGCTTCTATGAAAAGTAACTATGGAATAATAAAATTAAGTACTGTAAATCTTGGGATATATTGTACTTGCCTACAAATGCAAGGTCCTATGTTCAATACACAGAAAAATAAAAGATTAAATGTCAGCAATAGGTTTTGATTGCTTTCATATTTAAGTCATTCAGTCTATACATTAACTTTAATATTTAATTTGGTATACATATTCATTAAACGAGGTGCATATTTTATCCCAAAATCATTTTCTTTTTTTTAAGACAAGGTCTTGATGGTGATGGTGGCACAAAACTTTAATCCCAGCACTTGGGAGGCAGAGGCTGGTGGATCTCTGTGAGTTTGAGGCCAGCATGGTCAAAAGGGTGAGTTCCAGGATAGCCGGGGCTGTTACACAGAAAAAGCCTGTCTTGAAAAACAAACAAAAAAGACAAGGTCTCACGGTGCACAGGACTTAATCCCAGAATTTGGGAGGCAGAAAGAGATGGATCTCTGTGAGTTTGAAGCCAGCCTGGTCTACACAGTGAGTTCCAAGGCAGACAGTGTTTGCAGAGATTCTGCTCAAAAAAAAAAAAAAAAAAAGACAAAATAGTAAATGCTGACCTATATAGAAAGGACTAGACAGTCTGTTCTTTGCTTCATTAGTAATTAATGAAGCTATCCAGTAGGATTTTAGAAATATGGATTTGAAACCCAAGAGAGGCATTCAGAAACTAAAGGTTTGCTATTGGATGAGAGGGCACAGAATATCAGTGAGGATACCCAGCAAGTGTGTATTTGTATCCAAACTATGAACACAGAGTCTTTCACAAGTCAGTTTGTGGGGACAGAGAGTTCCTGCTTATCATCCCAAGAATGAGTTTGTTGAGTTCATTGTAGCTGTTTATAAATTCATTCGTAGATTTTCCTGTTTGGTGTGTGTGTGGTTTCCTAGGGTTACGAGGCTTGTCTCTCAAGCTCTGGGTTACCGGTATGCACCACCAAGGCCAGCTAGCATTCATAGCATTTTGTAAGTCCTGGGTTACTGGTATGCACCACCAAGGCCAGCTAGCATTCATAGCATTTTGTAAGTCCTGGGTTACCGGTATGCACCACCAAGGCCAGCTAGCATTCATAGTATTTTTTAAGTCCTGGGTTACAGGTATGTGCCACCAAGGCCAGCTAGCATTCATAGTATTTTCAAGTCTTAATTTTTAACCTTTGTGCATTGTTTCGACTTTAGCAAAAAAGATACTGTCTGAGGCAGATGAGGCGGCTTAGAGCTTGCTGAACAAGGTCAGGGACCTGAGTTCAATTCCCAGAAGGCAAGATGGAAACAAAGAACAGACTCTGGGAAGTTGTATTCTGACACCCCCCCACCACCACCACCACACTCTGAAGGACACGGTTTCCTGCTCTCACATACACATATCACACACACACACACACACACAGCACAACATCAGTAATGATAATAGATAAAAATCTATGGCAAATAACATGGCTCAGAGGATAAAGGTGCTTGCTGCCAAAACAACTGGGAACCTGAGTACCAAACAACTCCTGCATGTTATCCTCAGATCTCCCAATTACACTGTAGTATGCAAGCGGTACACAGGCATACACACACAGAGTAAATTTTAAACTCTAATAAAAATTTTAAAAGGAATTATCTGACTCAATTACTAAGGGATTGCTAACACAAAAGTTAAGTCATTTAGAAGATACCTTTTCCATAACACCCAAGGCTGAAAATATCTGAGAGAACAAAATTCTGCAGGATATGACCTTTAAAGATCAACTAAATGTCCCCCATAGAGATATTTCAACTTCTTGAAATACAGGCTTTAACAAAAGAAGGAGGAGGAGGAGGAGGAGGAGGAGGAGGAGGAGGAGAAAAAGAAGAAGAAGAGGAAGAGGAAGAAGAGGAAGATGCCTTTCTTTAGCACTTGGTTGTCATGGCAACAGTAATCACACTGATAACTCTACCTCCACAAAGTAGTATATAAAGTGCCATTTTCCTTCACTAACAGGAGTGTTTTTAAAGGCCTTATCTGTCTCTCCTCTTTCATGCATTAGGCCTTTTTCATTTGAAAACAATCAAATGAGATTTGATAAACTAGTTACCTTGACAGTATTATGTAAAGCTAATGGCTAAAACTGCACAAGACATATACCTAGCTATATAAAATAGAGTATAAAAATACTCTCCTCAGGTAGATGTTATCATCATATAGCAAACAAGAACCATTAGGCCGTCCTCACCTCTTCTCCCTCTTACCCAGAGTAGGTTCTTTCCAACCTCCCACCTTAGTTGAACACATCAGCCTGCCTGATTCACGGGCAAGTCCCTCCAGGGCAGACACAAATGTGTCTATGAACAACAGGTTTTCTCCTGCTTAGAAAGTCAATGGGGCTTTTCTTCATATACAGAATAAAAAGGCCTTCATAGTTACAGCCCTACCCAATCTGCACCCGAAACTCCTCGTCATTCATCCTCCATCTATCAGCAGTCTTCGATAGGACTGCACAGGCGGTCCTTCCCCTTTACTTCGAATTTCCTACTAAACCCTATTATCCAACTTCCACCTCGAATGTTAAATCTCTTATGGTGACATCATTGCCCCTGTGTTCTGACACGGTATTTCACACCTCGCTTCTGACATAGGTCTACTTCCTGTAGGTCACCGACTATAAACACTTAACAGTCCGGGCCAGATAACATCATGAATGCAAGAACGAGGATCAAGGTTTCAGTCCCCAAGAAATTTTTTACAGTGAAAGCAATCTGAGACACGTCACAAATGTAAACCTCTTTCACGTTCTTTAGCAGACAAGAGGCAAGGTTCTGACGTCCGTCCGCTTTCTTTCTCCCCTGGCGGCACTGTGGTCACCGCGGACCGTCCCTCCCAGGCCACTTGTTACTCACCGTGCTTTCCGGGCCCGGCGGGCGCCTCGGGGGACCAGGAGCACGAAGTTCCACCGTCGCTATCGTCACGGCCGCCGCCAAGCCGGGGTTTGTTTCTAGGCACCCTAAGGCCGGCTCCAAGAAGCGTCCCAGATGACTATGGCCCCGCCTCTGGGACGTTGGGGTCGCGGGAACCCAGGCGGCAAATGCCAGCAGCAGGAAACCGAAGGGCGCGCCGCGCCTGCTGATTGGCTGGAAGCCCGGCCAGTCCCGCGACAGGGCGGTCTAGTAGCGTCACGCAAAGTCTCCGCGGCCCTCTGCTGTGACAACCAATCGGATCCCTGCCTGGGATTCGTTTGTCCAATCCCAAGGCTCTTTGGAGAACCGAGGGCGCCACGAAAGAACCGGATCACAACTCCGGTGATTTAAAACTACATTTCATCAACGGTTAAGTTCCGGGATGGGTTGGCCAAACCCAAACGCATGCGCAGTTAAAAAAAAAAATCCCAGCTGACTAGCCAGAATTGCTTCCTGCACTGATTGTGCTCTAAAGACTAGGATCCTCTCAGCCGAACTTGGTGGTTCTTTTCCTGTTATTCTTGCACTTTCTGGAGACAGGTGCTGAGGCAGGGGGATCGCCGCGAGTTCCAGGCAAACAGATTGGGATTGTTTTAGAGACCCTGCCTCAAAAAGACTAGCGTCGGGTGTAGTAGTGTACCGCGATAATCCTAGCCTTCAAGAGGTGGGTGGACGCAGAAGGATCTGCACAAAGTTCAAGGCATCTACGTAACAAATCCAAAAACAACCTGGTTTACAACCCTGTCTCAGGATTTAAAAGAAGTGTTTTCAATATCTTTAATGGACAGAGATAAAGATAAAGAAGGTTATGTTTGTTCCAAATTGTTTCCTAAGTAGACTCATCAATTTTGAGAAATTCTCGTTGAACAAGAAAACCTGTGGAGGGCTGGAGAGATGGCTCAGTGGTTAAGAGCATCGCCGCTCTTCCAAAGGTCCTGAGTTCAATTCCCAGGAACCACAGGGTGGCTCACAACCATCTGTAATGAGGTCTGGTGCCCTCTTCTGGCCTGGAGACATACACGCAAACAGAATATTGTATACATAATAAATAAATAAATATTAAAAAAAAAGAAAACCTGTGGAATTTATACTTACTTCCAGTGCTAATAATATTGGGGATAGTTGTGGTGTGTGATTTGTGTGCGTGGACCTTTGCGTTCGTACGTGGAAGCCAGAAGTCCATGTTGGCTATTTTGATAATTGTTTTGTTTTGTTTTTCGAGACAGGGTTTCTCTGTAACTTTGGGGCCTGTCCAGGAACTAGCTCTTGTAGACCAGCCTGACCTCGAACTCACAGAGATCCGTCTGTCTCTGCCTCCTGACTGCTGGGATTAAAGGTGTGAGCCACCACTGCCCGGCTCCATATGGGCTATTTTTAGGAGATGATCAGGCATTGTAAAAATCTTTAAAAATCAAAAAGAAGAAAGTACATCTATAATGTTAGGGGAAGGTAGCAAGCGTGTGCTTAACGATTAGTTCATGTAACATTAAAGATTTGTGTATCTTTTAAAAGGCAGGTGAAAACTAACTTAAATGCATTAAAGATTGTAGGTAATAATGTATCAATATTGGATTAACTGAAACATGTACATACTAATATAGGATGCTAAAAATAAGGGAAGGTGGATGAGAGGCGCTGTATCCTCAATTTTTTCTTTTCCCCCCTGTAAATATGAGACTGTTTTGGGGTGCAGACTAGCTCTGCAGCGTAGAGGTCGTGCACCTGCTCCGCATAGGCAGGGTCCTCGGTTGAGTCACTAACACCACCTAATAAGTAAACACTTTAAAAAGTAAAATCTGCCAGGTGGTTGTGGGTCACACCTTTCATCCCAGCACTTGGAAGTCAGAGGTAGGCGGATCTCTGTGAATCTGAGGCCAGGCAGGCACCACAGCTACAGAGAGAAACCCTGTCTCAAAAAACCAAAATAAAGTAAAATGTAAAATCTGGGGCTGTAGAGATGGCTCAGTGGTTAAAGGCACTTACTGCTCTTGCAGAGGACCTAGGCTTGACTGGGTGGATCACAGTTGTCTTTAGCTCCAGGGGACCCCTTCTAGTCTCCTTGGGCACCCCCAACCCTGACTGGCACACACACATACACATGAATAAATCTTTAAAAAGGAAAAGCCGGGTGTTGGTGGTGCATGCCTTTAATACCAGCACTCTGGAGGCAGAGGCACAAGGAGGTAGATCTTTGTGAGTTCGAGGCCAATCTGATCTACAGAGCTAGTTACAGTCAATGCCACATAAAGAAACTGACTTGAAAAACCAAAATAAATACATAAGTAGATAGATAGATAGATAGATAGATAGATAGAGATGGCAATAAAGGAGGAACTGAAGCATATTATTGTCTTTTGGACAACTAAAACAGCATGACAAATTAAATATCAGGAAGTTGTGAATTAAACATTTTATTGACACTGGATTTCTAAGCAGAATGTGTATTTAATGCTACGCATAAATAGTTGTTTTGAGACAGGGTCTCATATAGCCCAGGTTGATTCTGAATTCACTGTTTACTCAAGGATGACCTAGGTCCTCCTGCCTCTGCCTCTCGAGTGTTGGGATTATAGACATGGGCCCCCATGCCTGGTCTATGCCTTTATGGGGCTCAAACCCAGGGCTAGTGTATATATTATATCAGCATTCTTGCCTGCTGAGCTACATACCCAGTCCCAGTGCATAAATACTTTTGACCAAATCCTTGGCAAACAAGAAGACTGCCCTGAAGGCAGCCATGCTGCTCATTTTTATTTACTTAGTTTTCTCTGCAGTCCTGGGGATTGGCCTCAGAACCCTGGGCATGTTTAAGAAAGTGCTCTGGTGCTAGCTCTGGCCTCAGCCCTTTTTTATTGTTTTGAGACAAGATCTTGGTAAATTACTTAGGTCGGCCAGAACTTGCAGTCTCGACTCAGCCTCCTGAGTGGCTGGTGTTCCTGGCATAATTCATCATGCCCATCTGGCCCACCTCTTTTAGATTCTCTACTGCCACTCTGAACAACACAGAGAGCTTTTCTCCAGCATGACTGCACCAAAGAACCTGTACCAGCCCTGGAGGATAATTTAAGACAAACCTCAAAGAACACCAAAGATCTGGTTCGCCTAGGTCATATGGGGAAGCATTTTCCCTATGGCTCAGCAGAAAGCTTATAATTGGTACAAAATGAGGCCTGGGATTAGTGGAACTTGAAATACTGTCGTGACTGGGGCCAATATAATTCTTTCTTTGCATGCCACTTCCCCACAGTCCTCCTTGCTCTATTACTAGGATTGTCTCTTCATTTTTTGAATCAACTGCGAAGGCACTCTTCTGTGCTGCCCCCTTGTGTTGCAAAATGAGGCCCAATAAAAGGCTTCTGAAAAATAAAAATTTTAATAGCTTTATTTTAGAAATGGGATGACCTGACATATTTAGGAAAGCTTGTATTTCCTGGTATTTTAAAACATTTTCTTTGAGTAATGGTATAGAACAACAAGCCCCAATTGTGCCATTTAGTCTCTCTGAAATTCATTCTCTTTATCTCTATATTGTACACTACTATGAACGAGTGAGTGTGTGTCAATAAAAGGCTGTCAAATGCTATTACTCTAGGTACACTGTAGTTAACGTTACTAATAAAGGAACAATGCCATCCTATATTTGCAGAGATTAAGCGATCTGATTTGCCAAGTTAGAAAAGGCAGAAATTTAATGAAATAAGCGTTACAAATGCTACCAGGAGCCTGCTATGCACTAAGCTCTGTGTTAAATGGTAGGGAAAGTTTCAATGATGTGGCAAGAGGGAAACAAGGAAAGTACTGTTTATGGGCTAGGTAATAAGAGGTAATTACCCAAAACCAATAGGAATTATTCGTGGATTGCCTGCCAGGTTAAATAGCATGACTTCATATTGTACTGTTCCTTGATCCTTGTTTATATATGTATTGTCCACCGAGACACTGGCATTTCAATGGCTCCTGACCTTTACAGAGAAAGACTGCCTTCATGCTTTAATTTGCTTCATAGAGAACCATTCCAAGTGCATCACACTTTTATAAATGCATTAATTTGGTCTGTAGGTATACTTTAGTGGTACAGTACTTGCTTAGCATGCATGAGGCCAGAAATGCTGAAGCACTGGATAAAAAACAAAAACTAAAATGCAAATTATAAATTTTAATCGTATACATAATGTATTACAATTATACACTGTACAAGGCTAGTTATAAAGGGGAAATTCATCCACAGTTCTATACCCTGTTGTATAGTAACTGTGTCCAAGCCAAAATTCATGTTAAAAAGATGTTTTTTGAGCAATGTCTCATTACATAGCCCTGGCTGGCCTGAAATTCAGAGTTTGCCCGCTACTGCATCCTAAGTGCTGGGGTGAAGGAGGGTAAAATCTTAGCCTCCTGTGTGGTGGCAGGAAACAGATGAATAGACCGTCAACGACAGCACTTATGAGGAGTCCTGCTCTTACAGAAGATCCTCAGAGTACTTTCCTTCTCCTTGGTACCCTCTGAAGTCACAAGAACATGGAAACTGGCCCTTAGCTGATACTGAATTAGCCAGTGCCATCATCTTAGGTTTCATTTCCTCCATAACTGAGAAACATAATTTAAAAGCTACCCAGTCTGTGGTATTGTATTATAGTGGCCCAAATGGTCAATTAGTTTTGCGTTTTAGAGAATGAATTTTCTCAGGCTTTCCTCAAACAGATGTAGGTTAGGACAACCTCAAATGGCTGATCCTCCTGCCTCCTTATGGGCATGTATCTGCTATATCCAGTTTGGAAAGTCTTTTCTTTTTTGAGACAGGGTCTCTCTATGTAGCCATAGCTGTCCTGAAACTCACTGTCATATGTAGACCAGACTGGCCCCAAACTCACAGTGAACCTCTTGAAGACTGGAATTAAATACCTGAATCACCATGCCTAGCTAAGAAATTTTTCTTAATCTCTTTTCATCCTGCCAGTTAGTTTTAGCTGTGAACTTTACACAAACCTACAGTCACCTGGAAAGAAGGAAATTAAAATAATTACTCTGATCAGTTTGGCCATAGGCCATGTCTGTGAAGAATTTTATTAATTCTTAATTAAGG